CAGTGCACAATACATATTGTTTGTTTGTATCTGTGTGTGTGTGTCTGTGTGTGTGTCTGTGTGTTATTTTTTTGATAGTGAGGAAATCATAATTATTTTTTTCATTATACTAAAATCAATCAAACATGTAACCAGAATGATACAATTAAGTTTAACATGGATATTAAGTTTTAATCTTACAAAATAAATAAACAAACAAACAAACAAAATTGTTTTTCTCATAAATTAAATTAACTAACTAGTGATTGATCATTATATTGTATGTATGTGCATGTGTGTGTATGTGTGTGTGAATATGTGCATGTGTGTGTGTGTGAATGTGGAGGTGTGTGTGAATGTGTAAATCTATAAGCCACAAATGATAAATATACATTATTCTCTTTGAACTGTATTTTATTAAGTATAAGTACATAAGTGTTTTCTTTGTAATGAATTTGGTTATGATGTAATGTAAACATGAAAATATAATTACATCACAGATAAATTAAATGTACTTGAAATGTGTGATACTTATGTTGATAGTTTTACGTTACCTAATTACTTGACTTACTTATATACTTACATACTTACTTACTTACTTACTTTACTTACTTACTTACCTACTTACCTACTTACTTTACTTACTTGCTTACTCACTTACTTACTTACTTTACTTACTTGCTTACTTACTTACTCACTTACTTACTTACTTACTTTACTTACTTGCTTACTTACTTACTTACTTACTCACTTACTTACTTACTTACTTACTTACTTACTTGCTTACTCACTTACTTACTTACTTTACTTACTTGCTTACTTACTTACTTACTTACCTATTTGCTTACTTACTTACTTACTTACTTACTTACTTACTTACTTTACTTACTTACTTGCTTACTTACTTATTTATTACTTTACTTACTTGCTTACTCACTTACTTTACTTACTTACTTGCTTACTTACTTACTTACTTACTTTACATGATTTCTTTACTTACTTACTTACTTACTCACTTACCTACTTACTTACTTACCTACTTACTTACTTACCTACTTACCTACTTACTTACTTACTTTACTTACTTACTTACTTGCTTACTCACTTACTTACTTACTTTACATGATTTCTTTACTTACTTACTTACTTACTTACTCACTTACCTACTTACTTACTTACTTACTTACTTACTTACTTACTTTACTTACTTACTTACTTGCTTACTCACTTACTTACTTACTTACTTACTTACTTACTTACTTACTTACTCACTTACTTACTTACTTACTTACTTACTCACTTACTTACTTACTTACTTTACTTACTTGCTTACTTACTTACTTACTTACTCACTTACTTACTTACTTACTTACTTACTTACCTACTTACTCACTTACTTACTTACTTACTTACTTACTTACTTACTTACTTACTTACCTACTTACTTACTTACTTACTTACCTAATTACTTACTTACTTACTTACTTACTTACTCACTCAGTCACTCACTTGCTTACTTACTTACTTACTTTACTTACTTATTTACGTATTTGCTTACTTACTTACTTACTTATTTACTCGCTGACTTACTTACGTACTTGCATACTTACTTACTTACTTTACTTACTTACTTACTTAATTAATTAATTACTGACGTCTGTTACTCCCGATGAAACAAATTGAACCATTTTCAACTTTGCCCTTCGTGTTCAAGAAAGAATTATGATGCCTCATGATGAAAGTTGAGATTTTTCGGAAATCACGAAGATGATGTTTCTTTTAACAATCACAGGAACAATTAATATAAGTGCATGGAATATTCGGACAATGTGAGAGATTAGGAGAACTAGTCAAATAGTAATGGAAATAAGGAGATACAACTTGACAGTGCTCGGAATCAGGGAAATCTATCGGACGTAAGCCGAATAGAAAAGGATGAAGTTGGGAGAGATGCTACTATACTCTGGTCATGAAAAGAAAAATCTTTCATGTACTCAAGGAGTTGCTGTGATGCTGTCTAAAGAAGTACAAAAAGCACTTGTAAGATGAGAATCTCATGGATCCAGAATCAACAAAGTACCCTTCAAAACAAAGAAGGAGGGAATTACAATGAATATTATCCAATGCTATTCACCCACCAATAACAGCAATGACGACTATAAAGATCAGTTTCACGAGAGGCTGCAATCCATCATATATATATATATATATATATATATATATATATATATATATATATAATCGAGGCTGATTGAATTCCATGTTACACATGATTATTACTATCAGAAAAAAGTTTGATAATAACATTAATTAAAAGATATATTCAGAGTCCCGGAATGAGCATCAACTGTAGGATGCAGGTACACCCAGCTGACGAAACTCAAATATAACGAAACGCGCGTCCTGGATTCTACTGCTAGCTACTATCCATCTTTGCTTAAAAAGATTACGTAATAGTCCCTGTAAAAATTGAAAATTCATTAGGACAGTGATTATCTTTTTCAATAGTTGAGATCACAAGTCAATTGATGACAGATCACCATGGAAAGACTAGAAGCGCTGGATGACTGTTTCTTCCTATTGTGGGACTCCTCAGGAGTGCACATACATGATTCCCCGTAGTGAGATTCGAATCCAGGACCTATCGGTCTCGTGCCCACGAACGCTTAACACGTAGACCACTGAGCTGACCGGTGTCGAATGGTGTTAATGTCTAACTTCAACCAAACCACGAAATTGTGCCACCGTCTACCATTATGCTCAGTGAGTTACTATCTTACAACAGATCCTGTTGTACTCCACTGGTCACTGTTTCTCACTAGAACTCCAGGAAATACGTCATTTTGTCCATGAAACCTTTTTCGTAGTAATGTTCCTAATTATCAATTTGAATACTCGTAAGTAGTATAAAAGGTATTACCACATTTACCATGGGAATCGCTTACAAAATAATCAAATGTATTGAATAATTTCAATAGTTGAGATCATGAGTCAATTGAAGTTAGACCACCATGGAAAACCTGGAAGCACTAGACGGCCATTTTATCCTATTGTAGGACTCCTCACCGTTGGATGCCGGTTCAGTGGTCTAGTTGTTAAGCTCTCGAGCGCGAGACCAATAGGTCCTGTATTTGAATCTCGCAAGGCGGAACCGTGGATGCGCACTGCTGAGGAGTCCCACAATAGAACGAAACTGCTATCTAGGATTTCCATGGTTTTCTAGCTTTAATTGGCTCATGATGTCAACTAATGAAATTGCTACAATCTCTACAAAACCCCTTCTGGTATTGAATAATTATTTCTGCTGTGTTATATGAACATAAATAATGATTGTACTGCAGTTTAAATTATAATAACACGAGTCCGTAAAAACTGTCAACTTTAACTTAATCAATTTTGTTAGTAAAACTACCAGTTAGCTAAGGCTTATATATTTGAAGTTCTTATACTCAGGACTCCAATTGACAAAGTCTCTGTGTCAAATAAGATTTCTTGATAGATTACCTCGATATACTACTATTTAAGAAGTTTAAGTATACTTCATATGTAACTGGTAGTGAAATCTATAAGACTTGGTTGGTTCTGTTAGGGAATGGTCATGACGAAGTACTTGCATCCCAGTGATGATTTACTATGTATATAGAACATAAGATAATGTCATCAGGACATCCATATGTATATACTCATAATCTCATGATACCACCCGACAAATTACTAGAAATTAGCTAGTACCTATCTGTTGTTCAGTCCAAGTCTTAAATTCCTAGCCAAGGTACACTCCTCATACTATACATTTATAAGTTCAATGAACCCTATCTTGATTAGATAATTACCAAATTGGTTATTAATCATACAGCAACTATCCTACAATCCATTTCGATTATGGTTAAATTTGATTAAACCCCTTTTATTAACTTAATTAATAGACAATACTAATTGAATAGTAACAATTCGTCTATTTCTTTGTACTGTTTTGATTACTAGAGTACATGACAGACTCTAGCTAAAATATTGATCGCTTAAAGATCACTCGATGATTCATCCTCCTCCTCCTCCTCCTCCTGATGTATGTGAATCCTATTATTAGCCTTTACTTTGTCTTTCTGTGCCCTTATGCGACTTGACAACAAATTTACATATGTATTTGTTCACATACTCTTCTGTCCGCTTCAAATTCTCCTGATGTGCGCTATTCGCTAATAAACTGTAGTTGCCATTTATCCATTATCTTCTTATTTCAAACACCGTTGAGATTTAGATAATAACGGTTATCAAGTTGATTGATTCACAAAGCAAAGCAATTAGAATCATAGTATCATTGCCAGAACAAAACAGAACCTATAATCTTATTATTACCCTGTTTTATTTTTGTACATAATCTAACATTCAAACTAAGATTGAAGAAGGGGAAGACTAATACGGTTAACGTTTTTTTAGAGAGTTAGTTTTCTACGGGATGGGGTCTCTAATCCCATGCCTAACCTTCCTCCTTTATTCGGTCTTGAGACCGATGATAGCTCCAGAGGGGCTCCAAGCGGAGTTTAAACTTTACGGAAATAGAATGTTTTTAAATCGATCAAACTTGATTCATTTATAAGATGATGGTTAGAGGTAGTCAACAAGAAATCGTGCTACTTGGCACGCGTCAGCAAGGTGCACTTGTAATCTTGAGGGAACTGGTGCTCCCTAATTACAGATACATCTTGCTGATGAGTGACAAGTAGCACGAAACCCGAGTACAGGGTTTCCTGTTGACTACCTCTAATCAATATCTTATCTCAATATAGTGCACACAATGTCAAGTCATCTAAACTAATGGTCACATTGCCATTTGGTCAATAGCATTCGATCTTCACAAAGAAGGACTTGACACATATGACATTGATCATCACCCAATAATCAATCAACTGTAGATTCATTTATTTTTAACCGCATTCAACTAGAACTTTCTTATCTCGTTCCATTGAATTAACGTTGTTCTGTCTTTGTTTTTTTGTTCTTTTAATTTTCATTATGTATAGGTAAACATTATGGTGCTTATTCATGTGATGGATGTAAAGGATTTTTTCGACGTTCTGTACGTCGTAAACATTCATATACATGTCGTCATAAGAAAAATTGTATTGTTACAAAAGATAAACGTAATCAATGTAGATTTTGTCGTTTTCGTAAATGTTTTCGTGTTGGTATGAAAGAATCTGGTAAGAAATCAAATTATATCTTTCTATTGAAATGATAAATACTTACATACTTACCTACTTACTTTACTTATTCCTGTTATTCCTAGTAGAGGAACAAAGGCCACTGACCAGTATTCTTTAATTCAATCTATTCTGAGTATTCCTTTCTAGTTCTATTTAATTTTTAGTCATTCTTCTGATTGTCTATCTCCATTTCTCGGAGGTATATGTCCTTTGATTTTCCTCTTCTTCTTTAGCCTTAAAGATTTCAAGTGGAAATTATGAATGGCCTACATATAAAAATGATGATGAATTTTATTTCATTTTCAAGATTTTAATGTTAAGGGTATGTCAGATGAAAGTTAACGAGTCTAGGTCTTTGTGTGAATATAAGAATTGAGGCCCAGTTGTATGCAGCTAACAAAACTTAAGCAAAATAGAACCCACATCCTAGATTCTATTGTTAGGTACTATCAAACTTTACTGAAGAAACTTCTTTGATTTAATCACAATATCAAGTCAATCCACTTATGAATTGCATATCTTAACACTTAAAATCGATAAGATTCAATTCCGTAGGTTAAAAATGATCAACTCTTACACTTTTAAATGATGTCCTTACGAATGTTACGATTTATTCACATCAAAAGTGTCTATCTACATATTCAATCTCGGTTCTATATAGTTTGTGTGATAGCAAATGGTAGTACGTGGTTATTCAAAGCAAAGTAAGTATATTGAGATTTGAATCTGGAATCTATTAATTGAAACTGAAGTGTCTTCAACCATTAAAATATCAATTGTTCAACAGATATGAAATAAGCTAGTGTACATATTTATTAAATGATTAAACATAATGGACTGTCTTGATGAAATACTTCAATTTTGGTAAGACTATAATTTATGGAAGACCTTTGAGCGACGCCAAAGTGGCCTTGAGAGGGTCTGCCTACTTTTATAGGGCTAAATGAAGGTTATAAAGCAGTTTTGCCCCCAAACTCCCTGGTATGGCAAAGAGTGGGGAGAGTCTGCTCTCCCTCTCCAAATGCTCTCACATGGCCACGCGTATATAACCTCTTCCAGGGAAGTCCTACTCACTGCCTTCACGTGACACCGGTGTTGTTTACGAAAATGAGAGGACGAAAAGCGAATGTCCGGCGCTTTAACCGGACCCCAAACCAATGGTGCACATGGGCTAGCTCCAGTATCCTGAAGGATCGAATGGCGTATGAACCAATCGTTGGTCACCGGCTATCATGGGACTGCATCTCCTTACGATGCTCCACTGCCTTTTGGATCAGGCATTCAGGTCGAAGGCTCGGGGTGTGGCCCCCTAAGATAACTACCTGGTTCGGTTTGGGCACCCAGGCAGTATGACAGCCCTCACATATATCAAATGAGATTTATGTGACGCATATATATTTGTTGCCTTCTTGTACCAATATCTATGTGTTAAAATAAATAATAAATAAATAAATATAAAGCAGTTTGAAGAATAAAGGTAATTATTTACAACTGATGTTAAGAGTAAAGCCAAGACGCTATTTGAACGAATGGATGAGTGAATTTCGCGCCAAAATCCAAGACCTATTATCCTAAATCTGATTGGTTCGTTCATAAGTCATAGTCTCGCCATCAAATCAATATGATTCACTTACTTCTTTCATGTAAATCAGTGTATTCTAACTTTGTAAACTATTGATATTATCATTACTCAGATTCAGTTTTTGTATTTACTCAAAGTGAAAACCTTAGTATATTTGATGTTGATACATTTGTATTTGAATGTGTTTAGACATTGACTTCCTAGTGTGATGTATGCTATTGATGTCGACAGATATAAGTAGTATGTATATCATCAATAGAAAGTGAAATGTCTAGCAGCAAAAGCTTAAGAAGATTGAAGAGAATAGGACGAGAACAACGAATAACTGTTGAGAAAAAATGACGGAACAATGAAGATTGAGACGATTGATTGACATTTTTTAAATGAAGTATTTACTGTAAGGTACTCAGATTTTACTAAGATATACTGTAATAATGTATTTAAATACATTTGATTGTCCTCACTTGTGTACTCATTCATTACAGTATCAGTTGGGCACTGGCCCAGTAGTTTAATGCTCAGAAGTTTGGGTCTAAGATAAAAGAGCCTAGGTTAGATATGCAGATTCGGAGTGGTAAATACTTACTGATGAGGTGTGCTAAAATAGGGTGAAACATCCAACCAGAGCATTCATATTATCAGTGGTTGTGTAGCTAAGATCAGTCCGTTATTTAAAAAAAAGTCATTCAATCCTACAATTGCATAATTAAAACATTATATTTATCAGAAGGCGGTTTTGTGGAGATTTTAGTAATTAAATAGTTGAATTTATGAACCAATTGACGTTAGGCCACCATGAAAAACTTGGAAGCACTGGACGATCGTTTCATTCCTGTATGAAACTCCTCAGCAGTGAGCACTCACGATACCACCCATTGAATTCGAACCCAGGATCTTTGGTCTTGCGCTCAATGGTCTAGAGGTTAAGCATTCGCGCACGAAATCGATAGGTCCTTGGCCTAAATCTCGTGTGCATGGTCGTGGATGCGTACTGTTAAAAAGTCCTATACGGCCATTCAATACTACTAGGTTTCCCATAGCGGTCTAACTTGCATCACTTCATGAATTCAACTATTTCTTTGATTATTCACAGAGTTAATCTTTTTAAATTTTTTTTTTCAGCTGTACAAAAAGAACGTGATAAAATAAGTAATCGTCATGCAACTTATGATCCTAATTCATCAATTCATTCAAGTATAGATTTACAAAAATTATTACAAGCTGAAGCAATAGCGAATTGTGTATGTTCTATTCATAGTGTTTACATTATTATCAATGTTCAATAAACGAAATGTGTGTGTGTGTGTTTTTATGAAGTTTCTTTGTTACTATGTATCATATTCACGACAGTAATAATCAGTAGAAAAGTATGAGATAGGATTGTGTCCACGGTTTGAGTCCTTACCGAGACGGTTAAGGAGATTGTTGGTTTTTATCAAGATTACAAAAACTAATCCAAGTTAGACGACTAATAAGAAGCTCTGAAAGTTACTGAACAGTCATTTCATCCTCATCTGAAACTTCTAAGTAGTGCTTATCTGTAAATTCTAGTGAAAATGCATGACCGGTAGAGTTTACTGATGTTGAGTGGGATGAAAGTTACCTACAGAAAAAAAAGTTCGAACAATGTTATGGATTGATTGAAATTAAATCTGTACACCATGAATTTCAGCTCAGTTTACAAGTTTAGAGGGTAAATGTTTGAGCGAATAACAAAAGATCCTGAGTTTTACTTCCGATTTCAGGGTCGTAGATCGGTACTGTTGAGATGTTACGTATTGATGTGAGATGGCTATCCAATGCTTCTACGTCTTCAATAGTTGTCTAACTAAGATTGTTATTTGATCTCAATAGTCTTATATGTTTGTTACTAAAATTTACGTACATAGCAACAAGCATTATCTTGGTTATTTTAAAAAGAACCCTCAGAGTTTGTTATCTAAACTTTTGTTATGGATTGAATTTTTAACTTAGATTCAATCTTATTTGAAAGAGAGAAAGAAAATTCAGTTCGTTAGAATGACAAATGTACCATACGAAGTGTAACAAACTGTTCAGTTGTCTCAATCATAACATATGCTCAATAGTAACTGGTTTCAAGAGTTATTTCCTGGAGTTCTAGTGAGAAACAGTGACCAATGGAGTCCAATCGGGTCTGTTGTGAGATAGTAACTCTTTGAAGAGAATGGTAGATATGTCGTTCAAGTTCTTGGATTATTTGAAGCACGACATTAACACCACTAGATGCCGGTCAGCTCAGTGATTTAGAGGTTAGGCATTCGTGTGTGAGACCGATAGGTTTCGGGTTCAAATCTCACAAGGCGGGATCGTGTATGCCCACTGTTGAGGAGTCCCGCAATACAATGAGACGGTCGTCTAGTACTTTCAGTTTTTTCATGATCATCTAGGTCCAACTGATTCATAATCTTAACTGTTAAAATTACTATAATATCCACAAAACCCCTTCTGACATCAATCATAATTAACCCTAATTAATGCTGACCAATCTGGTTTATGCAATGTGATCACAGAAATTATAGAGTGATATTTATAAGAATATTAATGAGGGTTCCATGTTACCGATGATTTTACATCCTAAGTGAATTATAATTTAGTCATAATTTCTTATTAAACATACTGAATTCAAATTTAGTTGTAAATGCCATAATTGACATACAAGTATATTCAGATGAAGAGTCCTAAATGAGACGAAACACATATCTTTGATGAAACAGATATGTATTGAAGAATACAATTTGTAAATTTAAAATGAATTGCTCTATTCATTTATACGAATGATGGTTTTGTAGGGATTGTAGTCAATTAAAGCTAGATCATGATGGAAAACCTGGAAGTACCGAACAGCCGTTTCGTCCTAGTAGGAACTTCTCAACAGTACGCATCCATAATTAAGCGTTCGCGCACTAAACCAACAAGTCCTGGGTTCGAGTCTAACCTGGGGGAGTTACACACTAGAACGAACTGGCCGTTCAATGATTTCAGGTTTTCCATAGTGGTCTAGCATTCATTGACTCATGAATCAAACTATGAAATTACTATTCAATTATGTTAATCAATTGTCCTTGATGAAACTGATAGCTATTGAAGAATATGATCTGAAAATATCAACTGAATTGTCCTGTTCAATTATACGAGTGATGGTTTTGTAGAGATTACATTCATCTTAATAGTTGAATTTATGAGTCAATTAAAGCTAGACCACTATGGAATACCTGAAAGTACTGGACGGCCGTTTCGTCCTCAACAGTGCGCATCCATGATTAAGCGTTCGGACATGAGATCGATAAGTCCTGGGTTCGAGTCTGATTTGAAAGATTGTGGATGTGCACAGTTGAGGAGTCCCATACTAGGACGAAACGGCCTTCCAGTGCTTCCAGGTTTTCCATGATGTTCTAGCTTCAATTGACTCATCATTTCAACTATTAAATTACCATCAGTAGAGATTTTGTGGATATGATAGTAATTTTGCTAGTTGAGATCATGAGTCACTCAAACCTAGAACATCATGGAAACCCTAGAAGACCTGGATGACCATTTTGTCCTACTATGAGATTTCTCAACAATATGCATCCATAATCCCTCCAGGCAGGATTCGAACCCACGACCTATCGGTTTCATGTGTAAACGCTTAATCGTGAATGCGTACTGTTGAGTAGTGCCACAGTAAGATGAAACAATCATCCAATACTTCCATGTATTCCATGATGATCTAACTATTCAATTATATATTAATCAATTAATAATCATTACGTAATCATTTCTTATCCCTTTTTTGTTCTATTAATAGGCAATACATCAAAATTATATTAATATAAGTAAGAAATCTACTGATTTCTATAATGAACAATCCAATTCTAAAGAATTAAATGAGAATAATTTAGCTAATATTAATGATATTTGTGAATCAATACGGACTCAATTAATATTTTTAATTGAATGGGCTAAAAATCTATCTGTATTCACATCATTAACAATTAATGATCAAGTAAGTTATATTACAAAATCAAAGTGTACTTAATTGCTTACTTACTTACTTACTTACTTACTTAGGCGTGTTACTCCGAATGGAGGAGTAAAGACAGGCCGACAAACATTCTCCAACCCACACTGTGTTGGGACTTTCTTTCTAGTTCTATACAGTTGTTGTTTGTTCTTCTCATATCGGTCTCCATCTCTTGGTGTATTGTGTTCTTTGGTCTTTCTCTTCTCCTTTGAGTTTGAGGATTCCATGTGAGGGCTTGCCTTATGATTCAGTTGGATGCATTCCTCACTATGTATGCCGTCCACGTCCAGCACTTCTTCCTGATTTTTTTCTCCTTTGGGAACTGGTTTGTTCTCTCCCACAATAGGTTGTTACTGATAGTCTCTGGTCAACGGATCCAAAGTATTTTATGTAGACAACTGTTAATAAACACTTGTCTATTCTCGATGATGGCTTTCGTAGTTTTTCAAGTTTCCGCCTCATACAGCAGAACTGTCTTGATGTTCGTATTGAAAATCCTGAAGTTTCTTTTGGTTGACAGACAGTTGTTTTGAGTGTCAGATGTTTTTTAGTTGTAAATATGCTGCTCTTGCTTTGCCAATCTGAGCCTTCACATCCACTGTGTTGATCAATGATGCTGCCCACGTATGTAAAGGTATTTACATCTTCCAAATGTAGATAAAAACAACATTTTAAGAGTAATATTTGAATCGATTAAGAATATAATAGTTGAATTAATGAGTCAACTAAAGCTAGATTATTATGAAAATGCTAGAAATACTGGATGGCCGTTTCGTCCCAATATGATACTCTTCAGCAGTACATATTCCCAATCCCTCCCAGCATCATTCGAATAGAGATCCTTTCACTGAACTTCACCTTTTTTCAATATATTCAATGATCAATCAATGAATATAGAACATTATCAGTATTGCAGTTGTGAAGATTATCAAGTTTTTGATTGTGATCATGAATCACCTGATGTTAGATCACCGTTGGAAACCTGGAAACATTGGACGGCCGTTTCATCCTAGTATGGGACTCTTCAGGAGTGCGCATCCACGGGTTTCGAACCCAGAGCCTTCAGTCTCGCGCTCGAACGCTTAACGTACTGGACAACTGAGCTGGCATCCAATGGTGTTAGTGTTTAATATCAACCAGTCCACGAAATTACGCGACCATCTTCCATTGTACTGATGTAGATACTTGTCTCTACCTGACACGGATTAGCTCCAGTGGTCATGGCTTCTCACTAGAACGCCGAGAATTCCCTCACGAAGTTAGTCACTAGTGAGTACATGTTAATTATCAGTATAGGGGTTGTGGAGACTCCTAAGTTTTTGATTGAGATTATAAATCAACTGATGTTAGATCACCGTTGGAAACCTGGAAGCATTGGACAGCTGTTTCGTCCTAGTATGAGACTCCTCAACAGTACGCATCCACGATGTCGCTCCTCGCCGGATTAACGGTAGTCTAACATCCGTCGATTCATGATCTCAATCAAAAAACTATAGAATATTATTAAATATTCTATAATAAATAATAATGAATAATTTTCTTTTTCAAATTTCTTTGAATAGATTGCATTATTACAAGCACATGCTGGTGAAATGCTTATTCTTGGTGCTATATGGAGATCAATTACATTAGGACCAACAATTAATAAATCAAATCAATATAAAATAGAAAAATCAAAAAATTTTGAACAGAAATTAAATCAAACTAATCATACATCAATAAATAATACTATAGATGATATAACAATGAACCTTAATTCAAATATTGTTGCTATGGTTACTACAAATACAACAACTACATTATCTAATTCATGGAATATTACAGTTACTACAATGACAACAACAACAACAACTACAACAACTACTACTAACACTACTACTACTAATACTACTAATACTACTATACCAACAACTAATAGTAATAATGGAGATCAATCAATACAAAAGAATCAATTTATTGATAATACAATAGATACTACTTATATACAATCTATAAATTATGAACCACAATTTATTTTATTAGGTAATAATCGTATTATATCAAGACAAAATCCATTACCAGAAATAGCTGATTTAGCTAATATGATTATCAATGAAATATATCAACCAATACAAAATTTATGCTTAGATGAAATTGAAATTGTTTGTTTTAGAGCAATCATGTTCTTTGATCCAAGTATGTTAGAATTATATTGAATAGATTAATACTTTATTATTATTATTATTAATGATAATAATATATATGAGATCATAAGTTTATGGGAGATCTGGAAGTATTGGATGGTTGTTTCGTCCTATTGTGGGACTCCTCGTTGGCAGTGCACATCCACGATCTTATTTTGTGAGATTCGAACACAGGATCTATTGGTCTTGCGTAAGAACGCTTAACCTCTATATCACTGAGCTGGCCAGCAACTAATCTACGAAATTGAGTGATACTGTGGTTTGGGTTACTTATATATTCACACAAGTAGTATATGATGTTGGTCAAGCATAGAATGTATTTCAGTAGAAGGTCGATGAGGAAAGAATGGGAACAAAACGCAATTAGTATGAAAACGGTTGAGTAATGAAATCTGAGACAATGGATTGATGTTTGCAATAGGAACAGTCAAGTTTGATATGATGGATTGATATTTTGCAAATTAACGATTTACTATATATGGTTTTCAGATTTTATTGAAATGCTCTGTAATTATGTGTCTAAACACATTCGATTGTCGTCATAGGTGTTCTTGTTCGCTACAATACATCCATCATTGTCTTCAGTGAGTTTCTATCTCACAATAGACCTGATTGAACTCCACTGGTCACTGTTTCTCACTAGAACTTGAAGAAATACTTCTTGGAACCAGTCACTAGTGGGCATATATTGATTACTATCAGAAGGGGTTTTATGGAGATCGTGGTAAATTAACATTTGAATTAATGAGTCAATTGACGCTAGACCACTATAGAAAATTTAGAATCACTGGACTGTCGTTCATCCTACTGTGAGACTTCTCAACAGTGCGAATCTACGACTACGAAAAACTAAATGAACGTTTCATTCCAGTATGAGACTCCTCAGAGATAAAGTTCAATCATATTTGATTTGAGATAGCTATCTACTTTGAGCAATATTTGAGAGTTGTGCAACAGGGTTAATGGATTAAATTTAGACACATACGTTTGGAGACTAATGATACACTCATTTGAAAAAAAATCCTGTATTTGACTAACAACTACAGAATCTTGAGTATTCAATACTGAGAAGTCTCATACTAAGACGACACTGTAATTCAATGCATCCAGGTTCTCGCAGGAGACTGGACCCCATGTGCACCATTGGTTTGGGAACCAGTTAAAGAGCCGGACATTCGCTTTTCGTCCTCTCATTTTCGTAAACAACACCCCCGCCACGAGAAGGCAGTGAGTAGGACTTCCCTGACAGAGGCTATATACGCATGGCCATGTAAGAACATTTGGAGAGGGAGAGCGGACTCTCTCCACTCTCGGCCGTACTAGGGCGTTTGGGGGCTCCATAAAATTCATATGTTAAAGATAAATTTTCGGGGTTTTTGGGTCAGATTGATGTATATCTGCAAGTATACTTGTTCTTGAATGATAGATTACATGAATCGAACCAATTGAACACTTTTTGAATAGATCTTAGAGCATTATTCAGTGAGTTGCACCCCCGCCGCGAGAAGGCAGTGAGTAGGACTTCCCTGGCATATATTGTCGTTGTATAACTATTAACTACTAACTAGATCACATATATATTCATATTCCTTCTATTATAAGCTTCCATTTGATCTATTGGCTATTATTATACAATTTACTATTCTTAAGTTATTCCCAATTTATCAATAATAGTTTCTCACATTCAAATACATGGTTCTTATAGTAGAGGTTAATATTAGTGTTCTGGACTGAACCAATTGGGTTAAGCAAGAAGCGACTATCATGTCGGACCAATAAGAATTCAGAGTTGACTCTAAACGTCTTCTACTGGTTTATGCGTCATTGGTCTTTTCAATAAGTTGATATTCTAATTAGAGATTGTATTATATGATATATTTGTAGGGTATAAGGACATAATATAATCCATTGTTTATACTACCACGAATGACGTAATGAACGGGAACATCAGTGAAGTCAATGAAAATGTTTTAATAGAACATTACAGAATATCTTAGCAAAATTTGAGAACCATTTCACAATTTGTTGTTTCTTCGTTTTTATACCAACCACTATTTGTTCTCTTTCTCTTCTCTTCGATCTTTTTAACCTTCTGCCACCAAGCATTTCACTTTCTATTGGTGATATATACTACTTATACTTGTCGATATCAGTAGCACATTATACTAATACTATTATTATGAATGCTTATGCCAATATGAATATAAGTAGTAAACTTGTGTAAAATAAGACAACAGTCAATAGAATTGTTTATTTACTGTATGAAGTTTCAAAGTATTTACGTAATAAACATATATAGCCTTCATTTGTCCATTTTCATCTTTCGGTGTATTCTACCATATGAACTACCCTCTTGTCTGGTCTTCAAATGTTCTACTAACTCCATGTTTTCAATGCACTGATACTCTTCACTCCTGAGCTGAATGGTTTGGTCGTGGAGCTTCCATCATTCTTCTAAACGATATCATCATCAGCACAAACTTCAGGTAGAAGCGAAGTGTTCAAATTTCTCCACACGTGGTTCACTGCTTATCCTGTACACTTCAATGTTGATTGAATCTTTATGACCTTAAACCTATCATTGCTTATTTCTTTGTTTTGGTTATATCTCTCATTGATTTGAATTTTAGTCCTATGTTTATCCATAATTTTCCTGATTCATTGATAAATTGGATTGATTTCAATGTGTTTATTGTTTGCTGATTGACCTAACTGCTAAGCTTCTAAGAATTCTCTGATGTTTTTGGAATTACTATTATCCGAAATCTCCACATTTTTTGAGTTAAATGTGTGTCCACAGTTGTTCACGCGCATGGATATAAGTGAGAACATATCATGACGTTTGACTGTTAATTGATGTTCATTGTAGACGAAGATGACGAAGTCATCCACTTTATCCAAAAGTTCCATGACCAAATCATCCAAATCAAAGAATAAAATGTCATTAAAATCATCTTCTCCATTAACTTTTCACTCTATTTCACAATGATAACAATTTTAACCTTATATTCCATTACATACTACTTATAAACAATCTTATAAGTAGTATTTATGATCTTTGTCTAAAAATTATTTTCTTTGTTTGATTTTATCAACAACAATAACAACAACAACAACAACAACCAAAAAACAAGGTTGTGAATCTTTATCAGAGAATGGACGTTTATTAATACGTAGTTGTCAATATATTATACAAATGGAATTAATGAATATTATGAATGGTAAATTATATTTACCCCAAGGTCGTTTTGGTGCATTATTATTATTAATCCCGGAATTTCGATCAGTTACATATCAAATGATTCATAAATTACAAATTATACATCAAATGGGTTTTACAAAATTAGATGGTTTATTATCAGAAATTTTATTAAATAGTAAGTAATGATTATTGATTTATTGATTTATTGATTGATTGATTGATTGATTGATTGATTGATTGATTTGAACACATAAACTGTGGTACATAGAGGTACCAAATAGATCTACACTACATAAATCATACTGCCCAGGTGCTCAAACCGAAGTAAGTGGTTTTCTTAGGAGACCACACCCGGAGCCTTTGACCTAAAGGTCTAATCCATAAGGAAGTGGAACAATGTAAAGAGATGCTGGCAAATGGTAGTCAGTGATCAACAATAGGTTCAATACGCCATTTGTTCCTTCAGGATCCTGGAGCCCATGTGCATTATTAGTTTGGAATGAGGATTTTCCAAACTCCCCTGACCGTTGTTGCTACCTTGACGTGGTGGTCGGGCTTGCCTATCGTGATGAAGCAACTGAGCTATACTGGCTGGAACAACCGTTCCTCAAGGTCCTACCATGCCAGACAGGTCGGTTGAAGAGCGGTATAACTAAAAGCAACAAAACCAAGGTCCGAAGGCGAAGTCGTACTGCTGACTGTACAGAGGTGTGACAGCAGTAAGGTGTTTCCTTCAGACAACCAGCATGACAGCGATGCTGCCTTCCTACAAGGAGGGGTGGGGTTAGAAAAGGTCGACCCTAAAAATGCACACCTCATAAAAAGGTCGTGTGTGACCGACCTCAAGCAGCTGTCCCTTGGGCACTGCGGTCACGCTCTCAGGTCACTATGACCAACTCTAATCCAATTTCCTTTTCAGGTACCTCCAGCAGAACCCTTCCACGGTGTGGGCAACCGGGAAGTGATAACCGCCCTCATACCTCTAACAGCACTCAAGACCACTGTATTCATAGTCAACCTGACTTACTGACCCTAGATAAACCCTCTGTATCTATCGACCCAGTTAAAGCACCGGACATTCATTTTTCGTCCTCTCAATGGTATAGGAGTAGGTTGGAATAAAGCTAGGGGCGGCCATATCAAAACATGGCACAAATCCATGAAGTCACTAACAAGTGGATTGAGCCATGTTTGTAGATGTAGACTAACCACCTGGCTGTGATCCGTGAGTTGACAGTAACCGATGGTTAGAGACCTTGAATGACATGGCTCAAAATCGTTCGCAATGGCGTAGGCGCATTCACTTTTTGTGTTCTCCTGAATTCTAATCTTCCGAATTTTTCATGTGCCTTTCCCTTTTTTTTCTTTCCAAATTTAATTGACTAGATTATACTCCTTGAATAAAATCTTCAAACCCTAATCATTCCAATTACTGCTTATACTCTTATCACCACTATCACTACGGGATTTGAATCAACAACTACATCACTGTGCTACTGTAGTATAGCAACTTGAACTGATGTACGAACATACAAAATTCCAAATTGTTACTGACTGACTGACATAAATCATCAAACTGCATCATAAGTCAATCGCTTACTTAGAATCCTGAAGGGAAATGGAAATGAAAAAGACCAAAGAACATACTACTTCAATAAATGGAAGTAGATATAAAAAGGATGAATAACAACAACTGTAAAGAACTGGATAGGATTGCCCAGGACAAGTTTAGATGGAGAGTGTTATTGGGTGGTCGTCTATCCTTATCCACAAGAAATAATAGACATAAATAATTGATAAGTCTTGCGATTTTGAACGCTATACTCGATTCCTAAGCTATTGTTGAAACCTTCAAGCTAGTACTATACAGCGACCTGAACACGAGAGAGAGAGAAGGCACAAAGTATGCGAAAAGTACTTTACTCCAAGATTGCTTTTAATACAGAAAACAGATGGTTTTTATAATATTCTAAATGTCCTTGAGTTACTCGAAGATTCTCGAATGCTATTAAACATAGTACCGGTATTTATTTATTTTTATTTATTTTAACACATAAGTATAGGTACAGGGAGGCACCAAATACATATGCGCCACACAAATCTCAATTGATTTGTGTGAGTGCTGTGATACTGCCCGGGTGTCCAAACCGAAGCAGGTGGTTTTCTTAGGGAGCCACACTCCGAGCCTTTGACCTGAACGTCTGATCCACAAGGCAGTGGGGCATCGTAAGGAGATGCAGTCCCATGGTAGCCGGTGACCAACGATTGGTTCATACGCAATTTGTCCCCGCAGGATACTGGAGCCCATGTGCATGTACATGTAACGTTCATCATCCTTGATGTTTTCTGGCTAAAACTTTAAGTGAACGCTGATTGGATGAAATGCTTCTTATTGTTTTCCTGAACCTTGTGTGTCTTTTACAAGGATCTACTTGTATTCTCATTTTACTATTAGAATAGTAGTTTTAAAGTCAACTTTACTTTACAAACATTATATTTATGCCTTTCCCTTATTGTTATTAATATAGATTCAATAAATGAATCCAATAATAATATGGAACCTAATCATTTAAAATCATCTATGAAATATTATCATTCATTAAATCAATATATAATTCATGAAGAGAATAAGTTACCAACAATCTGTTCAATGCCTAAATTATATTCAACACAAAATGATTATACTCATACTTCACATATTGCTAAACTATCTACATCGTTATCCTCCTCCTCCTCCTCCTCTTGCTCCGCCTCCTCTTCTTGCTCCGCCTCCACCTCTACATCCACCTCCACCTCTTCAATTGTATCAACAACTCATTTTAATAATATATCTATATTCAATGAAATGGATTATTCAATTCATGAAGAATTAACTGATCTAAATAATTATTTAACATTAAACTCATCTAAATTAACACAATTAAATTTATTAGATAAAATTTATACTACTGAAATAGATCCTAAATCTACTATACAACAAATTAATAGTTCAATCAATTCATCTAATTATCATAGAATACAATCTGAATTCATAGAATCTATTCCATCTATACATGTAACTAATATATTAGATTATTATTATGATAATAATAATCATAGTAATCATGAAAATTGTATTACACAGAAACAATCAAATATTAATACAATAACACCATATTATCATACTATTCAACCAATTATGAGTACAGTTAAAAAATTTACTGGAAATTTTGATTTCAGTTGCCATAGCAACAATAGTAATGATACTACTACTACTACTACTACTACTAATAATAATAATAATAGTAATAATAATAATAATAATAGTAATAATAATAATAATAATAGTAATAATAATAATCGTAATATTATTCATAATGATGTAAATTCCTCACTTTTAACAATGCATTGTAAGTTTTATTTTACTGAATAGATAGTTTGAATTGTATTATTTCATAGTTCAATGTTTATATTATCAGTCAATATTAATTTTATTGATTATGAGAAAGTATTTGATAACATAGACAGAACAATATTATAGAAGCTTTATCGAGACTAAGATATCCCTGAGAACATAGTCAATATCATAGGGAATTCCTAGAACTTTGTTTAGTAAAAATATTGAATTCTTAGCACAAAGTATTTCAACAAATTTCCCGTTTCTTATTACTTGATCAGTTCCTTGTGATAAAGATTGAATGGTCGCCAGTTAGATATTAGCGATTCAAGAATCAACATCTAATAAATGTATATATTTTTTCAATGTATATTGTCAGTAACTATGATGTCTCTGATTGAGCTTTTTTGTAACTTGTACAATGAAATGTTGTAAACTGAATAGGTTATGAGACTAATAAGCATAATGATGTGTTAAAACAAACATGAGAACAGATAACTTATTGAAATATCTAGATGGTAGGGACAGATAGTCCAGATATTCAAACAAGATAGTCAATATCATACAGAATTTCTATGATGGATTAAGATGGAAAATCATGTATGGAGGACAATTGACAGACTCGTTCGAGGTAAAGATCAATGTCAGGAAAGGGTGCTTACTGTCATGCTTCCTCTGTCTCTTGGTGACCGACTGGATTATGAAGACGCCAACATTTGGGACAGGGAAAGCATGTGATACAGTGAACAGCTAGGATGCTGCTGGATTATTTACACTTCACAGATGATCATGCTCTTCTATCGCTTACGCAACAACAAATGCAAAAGAAGACGACAAGTCTAGCAGCAGCCCCAGTAACAGTAGGTCTCAACATACACAAAAGGAAAAACAAGATTCTCCGATGCAACACAACATGCACTAATCCAACCACACTTCACGGAACAGCTTTGGAAGATTTAAAAGCCTTTGCATATCTGGTCAGCTTCATGAATGAACACGGTGAATGTGAGGCAGATGTGAAAACGCTGATCGGCAAAACAAGAGCAGCATATCTACAAATGAAGAACACCTGGAACTCAAATCAGCTGTCTGTCAACCAACACCAAGGTCAGGATTTTCAATACAAATGTGAAGACAGTTCTACTGAATGGGGCGGAAACTTGCAGAACCACTGAAGCCATCATCGAGAATACACGAGTGTTTATCAACAGTTATCTACACAAAATACTTCGGATCTGTTGGCCAGACATCATCCGCAACAAGCTATTATGGGAGAGAACAAACTAGATTATAGATGAGGAAGAAATCAAGAAGAAGCGCTGGAAGTGGATGACACAAACATTGAGGAATGCACCGAACCGCGTCATCAATGCAAGCTCTCACATGGAATCCTGAAGGTCAAAGGAGAAGAGGAAGACCAATGAACACATGACACCGAAAAATGGAGACAAACATGAGAAGAATGAACAACAATTGGATGGAACTAGAAAGGAATGCTCCAGACAGAGTGGGTTGAAGAATATTGATCGGCAGCCTATGCTCCGACATTGGAAATAACAGGCCTAAGAAAGTAAGCGAGTAAGTAAGTAAGTTTCAATGTTTATATCACAGTCGGATGTAATTAAAGTATGATTCATTACTTAATGTTATAAGTAGGTCTTAGTATATCAATCAAGGTGATTGAATTAAAGGAAACCTATTTTGAGAGTCATTTCAATAGTATAGATTAAATCTTCGTGTGCGAGACCAAAGGTCCTGGGTTCGAGTTTCAGCTACAGGATCGTAGATAGGTACTGACAAGGAGTCACAAACTAGGACAAAATGGTCGTCTGGTGATTCCAGGTTTTCAATGGTGGTCTAACATTCATCCATTATTCATTATGTTAATTTAAACTCAATAATTTTAATGTAAAACGTGTATGAAGCATCATCGATGAACAAGGAGAATCAAATGCTGTTGGGCGGACTATACTCTTACACGAGGAGTAACAGGCATAAGTAAGTAAGTAAGTAAGTAAGTAAAACGTGTATATAGAGTCTACAAAGCGTGATCAGTGTCAATCAAGTTGACAACAAGTACACCGACGACATATTTATTTCTTGTAAATGAAGTGAATTAAGTTGCTTTTAACGTTCATTCGATTTCCATAAAACTTGTATTATTCAGTAAACTGATATTGTCATGATCAAATTTGAACTGTAAATTGAAAAAGTAGAACTCAAGTTACCAAGACAACCGAAGTCCTACAATCCTGCAACGAAATTCACAACGATCGACAAAATTCAATTCCATCCTGTATGTTTCATATTCTCTTGTTTATATAGCTATGATCATAGGAAGACTGAGGATTGGGTAGATATATATAATTGTCCTCTTGATTCAGATATCATTAGGTAGACAGAGGTCTTGAGCAAGCCAGTCAACAGTTCATCTCATTTATAATTGCTCACTTACTGTTTGAACTTAAAATGATAAGTAAACACAGATATATGATATATTTATGCCATGGAGTTTATTAAGTCAGTGTAGAAATTTGGGTTCATATTCTATTCAATACCACGAGACCTGGAAGCCTTCTATTGACTCCCGATAAATTATTATGTGTCGATACTGTTGATAAGCTTTATACTAGAATAAAATAATCACTCAATGCTTTCTTATCTTCAATAGTATCCCAAATGTGACCAGACATTAATCAGTTGATGATCTCAATCAAAAACTTAGGAGTCTCCACAACCTCTGTACTGATAATTAACATGTACTCACTAGTGTCTAACTTCGCGAGGGAATTCTGTGAGTTCTAGTGAGAAGCCGTGACCACCGGAGCTAATCCGTGTCAGGTAGAGATAGGTATCTACATCCGTACAATGGAAGATGGTTGCGTAATTTTGTGGATTGGTTGGTGTTAGACACTAACACTATTGGATGCCGGCTCAGTTGTTTAGTAGTTTAAGCATTCGCGCATGAGACTAAAGGCCCTAGGTTCGAAACCCGCGAGTGAGATCGTGTATGCGCACTGCTGAGGAGTCCCATACGAGGATGAAACGGCCGTCCAATGCTTCCAGGTTTCCAACGGTGGTCTAACATTAATCGGTTCATGATCTCAATCAAAAACCTAATAATCTCCACGATATTAACATACTACTACTACTACTACTACTAATGAGGATTTTTTTTCAAATAACTTTTAACCTACTTAAATTCTTTATTCAGTAGGTGAAGAAACTTTTGAAAATATTTCAAATTCGGATTATTCAATCAATTCAAATCTAATTCATTGTTTACCAAATTTAGAACCTGGGATATATTATTCAGATAATCAATTCTATACAACTTATTCACATCAATTAAATATTAATAAAACAAAATATGATCAGAATACTACTATTAATACCAATACTACTACTCATAATGATAATAATAATAATAATAGTTCACCAATTTACACTAATTACGATGAAAAACATTTGACACCAATCGATCATTCTAATGCATCATATTCCACAAATCACTTTTGATATATGTTCAATGGTGAATGATCTTGAATCAGGTTATATATACAGTTGACATGTATAGTTTACATGTTATACATTGTAACCAATTATAACAATTACATGTATACAAGATTGTGTTTTCTTTACTCAGTTTTGCTTTTTTTTTCTATTTTTTTTCTTTTCTCTTTTTTTTCTTTATTATCAATATTATTACTTTTTTTTTAAAAAGTTTATTCTTTTAAAAATTATGTCATTTATATTATTGAACATGAAAATTATTCCGATCTATATTATGAATTAATTTTAATATAAAATAATAAATGAACTACATTAATTCTTTGGATATTGTTTTATTTGAATGTTCTCATTGATGTTTTAGGACTGAAATTGATCAGTCTATTTCATATTGGCATATATGCATACTGTACGTATTGCCTCGATATTGTCTTAATGTACAAGCATTATAAGCAAAGATGGATAGTGGCACAAGCAATTGGCTATCAGAACTCAATAGCTAAGGGGATAACGCGATGGCATTTGAAGCGGACGGTACTGGATTCGAGTAGTCACGGAGTGAACATCAACTTTGAGATGAAGGTACATCCAGCTGACGAGTCCCAAATAGGACAAAACGCGCGTCAAAATGGATCCCACTGCTAGCCACTATTCATCTTTGTTTATAATGAACTACATTGTTATTATTGATTAGTCAAATAGTCAGTCAGCTAAAATGTAGGACCAGGCAGATATATACATCGGTCCAAGTTGCCACAGCTCATAAGCATAACAAGATGAACACCAGATTCATAGAAGTAGTTAATTCAATGGTAGTCATATATAAAAGAAATATTGTATATATGGATATAGTACAAGAAGAAAGAATTAGTACGTAGAAAGAAAGGTATGAAGCAATTTACATCTCATAGTTTAAGGGAAGACAGAGAGTGTATACACCAAAGCCATTGTGATCGATTCCGAGCCATGATCATCATTCTCATATCTGTCTTCTTTTCTCGAAGTGATGTGTTCTTCGGGTTCCACTTCTCCTTTGACCTTAAGGATTCCGAGTGAGGGCTTGAGTGGATGACGCAGTTCGGTGCATTCCTCAGTGTGTGTCATATCCACTTTCAACGCTTCTTCCTTATTTCTTCCTAAACTGTAATCTGGTTTGTCCTCTCCCACAGTAGGTTGTTGCTCAATGTGTCTGGCCAACAGATCCGAGGTATTTTCTGTAGACAACGGTTAATAAACACTTTTATCTTCTGGACGGTGGCTTTAGTGGTTCTGCAAGTTTCCACCCCATTCAGTAGAACTGTCTTCACATTTGTATTGAAAATTGTGACTTTGGTGTTGGTTGACAGACAGTTGTTTTGAGTTCCATATGTTCTTCATTTGTAGATATGCTGCTCTTGTTTTGCCGATCAGCGTTTTCACATCTGCCTCACATTCACCGTGTTCATTCATGAAGCTGACCAGATATGCAAAGGCTTTTAAATCTTCCAAAGCTGTTCCGTGAAGTGTGATCGAATTGGTGCATGTTGTGTTGCATCGGAGAATCTTGCTTTTCCTTTTGTGTATGTTGAGAACTACTGTTGCTGAGGCTGCTGCTAGACTTGTCGTCTTCTTTTGCATTTGTTGTTGCGTGTGCGATAGAAAACGTTTAGTTTGGTTAAAAATTACTTGCATTGATAATTTTAATTAATCTACAATATTGCTCTACTTTGATTGGTGGTTAACTACCTCATATCTCATATTGTAGGATTCTACCGACCATAGGGTTCCCATTAGAACTCTAGGAATTACCTCTCTAGCGAGTACATAACTATCAAAATTCATAATAGGGAGTTTTGAAGATTGTTAGGTTGCATAATTCATATCCAGCTGATGACAATCAGTTATCAGTGGGATTGAAAATCCATAGTTTTTTATATTTCATAATTTAATGAAAGTTCAATAATTATCAACAGAGATGGATGACAGCTTGCAATGAAATCCAGAAAACAAGTTTCGCCCGATTTTAGATTCATCAGATGAACGAATCTGTATCTCAGAGTGAATATCAACCTTGAGATACAGTCACATCAAGCTGATGTGTCTAAATAGTTGATATTTCAGACTCAGATGATTGTGTAATCTTCAATAAAATAATAGAATTAGCTTTCTGTAGATAGATGCTTCCATGAATAAATTAAACAGTATTCTGACAATCGAGTTTCCCTTCAATCATCGTAATAAAAGTGAGAAGGAATGAATGATGAGTACATTCCAATATAATCATATTTATATTGATTAACAGTTCGATCAATAACTTATCAGTATAAGATTGTGGAAATGATTAAATGTTATTGTAATCACCAATCGATCAAAAGTAGACAACTAGTGAAAACTCTGAAGCACTGGATGGGTGTTCCGTCTTAGTACGAGACTTCTCAGAAGTGAACATACACAATCTAGTGAGTGGAAATATCACCCGCAACCTTCTGTCTAACGCATGAACTCATAATTTCTAGACTAATAAGGTCTAACTTCATATGGCTTTCCAATACTTCAGGATTCACAATGGTAGTCTATCAACAATCAGTTCATGAGTTTAATGAAATTCAACATACTCCACAACTTAACATACTTATATCAATGAAATGGCTATGAGATATTTATCAGATTTACCTGTCATTTTTTTCAATTGATGAATAGTTTTCATAAAAGACACTTGTTTATCATAGATTAGTAGTGATTGTGATATTATTGATAATTAAGGATCATTGGATAGTTATTTTGTCCAAGCATGGTACTTTCAATTAAACCGAACTAAAGATAGTTCTAGGATTAAGGGAATGACCAAAATACTATTCAGTTAATCATTACAAATCCAAACATTATACTTTAATCAATTATAGATATACAGTAATGATCATCTAATGACAGTGTTAGTAATTGTGTCACTCCAGATTATTGAATTTTTAACCAATACCAATCTTATAATAGAACTAGAGAAACCAAACATGAAGTCATTCATTAATGAACAAACGTTTATGTAAATTGATAGAATAAATGAAATTCAGGATGAGACTTTCATCCAACTTGAGACTTGTCACCTGAATGTAATTCCATTCCAGTGTTGATGTTCACAATTCGGAGCTGAAAGCCAATAACTTACGGTTTAAAACGCCATAGCTTGCTTTATGATATTCATATGATTAGTACAAAACCGTTCAAATCTACTAAACGTTAATATAAGACTGGATTACTATCAGTATTGTTGGCATATATACGTGTTATGAAGATTGCATGTATTAAACTATTTCCAAAACCTTTTAGCTATTCAAATCGAAATATACTAAATATTTGTGAGAAAAGGTTTTTTTAAGGGGTAGGCAGTTGGTAGGAAAATCGATTTGGGTTTCATGCTAGTTGATATTCGTCAACAACGCATCCCAGGAATTTTGGCGAAACTGATGGTTCTTATAAAAATTGAATCTTAATAGCTGTAACTATACAGTCTAAGATGTCACCACTGATCCATTTGTCCTGGGATTAAGTTCCTAGAGGATTACGATATTTATAGTTGACTGATCATTGTTAAGTAATCAAAGTCACACTTATGAACCCGTCTTGTGTGAACTGAATTCTATCGAACAAGTAACAGTGTAATCACTAATCTAAATAACTGAAAATTGCAACAACAAAAAAAACCAGTCCCCTCAAAATTGTAAGTACACCTTGCTGACGAGTGTTAACTAACACAAAACTCAGGTTGAGCAGAATTTCCCATTAACTACTTCCAGTCATTTAGCATTTCAATATAGTAGACGTGATATATAGTTAATTGGACAGTAACAATATACTATTGGTTTTGTCGTTGACTAGGCCAATCATAAATAGAATAGTGCCTCATGGAGTTTTACACAAAATTAAAAAAGGAGTGTAAGTTGGCCTATATGGTTATTCATGAAGCAAAGTAAAATTGTCAGTATTTAATTTCTAAAATCATTAAAGCTGAAAAAGATACCTACTATGCAACCAAACTGAGAATATAATACGGCGGTTAAATTAAATTACCTGCTCCCAATGCAAGGTATGTATTAGCACACGTAATATAATCCAATGCATAATCAAGAGTTTTAATGTAATCAGATAGTACTCTATGACTCGAACTATATTATTTATTTATTTTAACACATAAGTATAGGTACAGGGAGGCACCAAATACATATGCGCCACACAAATCTCAATTGATTTGTGTGAGGGCTGTGATACTACCCGGGTGCCCAAACCCAAGCAGGTGGTTTTCTTAGGGGGCCACACCCCGAGCCTTCGACCTGAACGTCTGACCCACAAGGCAGTGGAGCATCGTAAGGAGATGCAGTCCCATGGAAGCCGGTGACCAACGATTGGTTCATACGCCATTTGTTCCTTCAGGATACTGGAGCCCATGTGCACCATTAGTTTGGGATCCGGTTAAAGCGCCGGACATTCGCTTTTCGTCCTCTGAACTTCGTAAACAACACCGGTGTCACGTGAAGGCAGTGAGTAGGACTTCCCTGGCAGGGGCTATATACGCATGGCCATGTGAGAGCATTTCGAGAGGGAGAGCGGACTCTCCCCACTCTTGGCCGTACCAGGGCATTTGGGGGCATGACTCGAACTACTCTCACTGAATGTAAATCCTAAGTTTTTGAATCATGTAAACAAAAGGATGATAAGCATCATTGTACACATTCGTTCATAATAAAAACCTCAATCATAATTCATAGTTCAAACTCATAACTCTGACGTTTAACTCTTATTATCTAATCTAAACACGTTATTGTCAGCCATCTCAACTTATAATACATAAACGTAAGCTTTTTTCCTTTACTAAAATGAATAGGTTAACATGTAATAGTTAGTTGATCATGATGAAAATCATTATTACATTGTAATTTTATTTCTTTACATATTGAATTGTTTTATCACTAAACAATGTTTCTTGATTAGCTGATAAATCCCCTCCACTTCCCACCTACCCTCATCTAAAGTAGTCAAGATAGTCACAATTGATTGATCACTGGGTGGTGATCAATGTCATGCGTGTCTAGTCCTTATTATTAGTGCAGATCGAATTCTATCGATCATGTTGCAATGTTGCCATCAGTCTAGATGAATCGATACTGCGAGCACTATTGTGGGATTAGATGGTGATTGGAGGTAGTCGACAGGAAACCCTGGACTCAGGTTTCGTGCTCATTAGCACTCGTCAGCAACGTGTATCTGTAATCTTTGAAGGAACTGGTGCTCCCTGGCTGATTCGATTCCGTGTCACCCAACTTCACAATCAGTGATCAATCAATTGTGATTACATCTCAGTCCGACAGGAAGTCAGTCGCGGCCCGGATAGCTCAGTAGTAACGTCTCTGACTGTAAAGCTGGGTGACACGGTATCGAATCCGCCGGGGAGCACCAGTTCCCTCAAGGATTACAGGTACACCTTACTGACGAGGGCTAAGTAGCACGAAACCCCAGGTCCAGGGATTTCTGTCGACTACCTCCAACCACCATCTAATAGTCAAGATAGTATATTTTCACTATTCGAATACTAGTAACAACATTACCACTTGATTGTTAATATTCGGTCACTACTAAAATATGACACTGACCAATCAACCTAATTTCAATCCGTATACTTGTTTGTCTTTTTAAAAAAATTTATTAGAAAAATAATTAAATTAAGTAGTATATTTAGTGGTTTGAATTATTTTTTGTGATTAGCATTTTCTTTTAGCGAGTTAGTTTTGTACACGTTGGAGTCGCCAACCCCATACTCAACCCTTCATCTTTACCCGGACTTGGGACCGGTAGTAAATCTAGAAGAGCAACAGGCGGAGCAAGATCCTTAAATGAAACACAGAGAACACCAACACAATGACACATGATGGCGAAACTCTGGAAGATGTGGAAACCTTCATGTACCTGGGAACTATCATCTATGAACAAGTAGGATCTGATGCAGATGTGAATGAAAAGATCAACAAACCAAGGGCAGTATTCCTACAACTGAATAACATATAGAACCCAAAACAACTGTCAACCAACAGCCAAGTAAGAATTGTCAATGCGAATGTCAAGTCAGTTAGTCCTACAGTACGAGGCTGAAAGTTAGAGAACTACTACAACCATCTTCAAAAAGGTACAACTATTTATAAATAGTTGTCTACACAAGATATTCAACACCCATTGGCCGGATAACATCAGCAACACCATTCTGTGGTAGAGAACAAATCAGCTTTCAGCTGAAGATGAAATTAGGAAAACACATTAATAGTCGATAAGACATACATTACGGAAACCATCAAACTGGATCACAAAGCTATCCTGAAAGGAAGGGGTAAAGAGGAATACTGAAGAACACACAACGTCGAGAAATGAAATCAGATATGGAAAGGATGAAAAAACAACAACAAGAAAGAACTGGAAACGATTGCCCAGAACAGGGTTAGATGGATAATTCTGGTGGACAGCCTATGTTCTTCCACGAGGAGTAACAGGAGTAAGTAAGCAAGTAAGTATATTTATCTATCTATCTTTGTTAAATCTCAATCAATTCACAAGGGAATATTAAATAACTATATAACAGATAATTCATGTTACATAAAGATATATGTATAGTTAATATATATAATAGATTAATGTGGATAAAATTAAAACAAGATCATAAAAAATAACATATTCAATGATCAATTTAAATAATACAAGATCAAGATCAACAAAGTAAAAGATCGAGATCAAGAACAAAACAATCCATCATTCATTTATACACATGAATAAACGAATAAAAAAGAAAACACACACAGACACACACAATGAACAAAAAATAATAAAGAAGAAGTAAAAATAAATAAACAAACAAACACAGTAAACCATAAAACTAATTAGTGATTTACCAGATTTCTTCTATTCACTAAAATGAAAACAAACATATATATATATATGATGATGATGATTAATATACAGAGACAATTTAGTTTAATGGAATCACCTTGACAACAATTTACTCATTTAATAAATTACAACTTGATAAAAGTAAAAAAAAAGAAAAAAAAGAGAAAGAGAAAAAAGAACAACCCAATGGTAAGCACTCACTGACTCACACACATGCACGCATACACACACACACGCACTCATACACAAAAGAAACAAACACACACACACACAAAAGAGAAAATCTAGCAGACACACGCACATATACGCACTCCTACACAGGAGAAACACACATATACACACAGTGAGAGACACAGAAAAGGGAGAAAATGTAGCACAAAACTCCCCCTCCCCCCCCAAGAAAAGTAATAAAATCATTTTGATCTATGAAATAAAAATTTTAAAAAAAAGCAAAACAAAAAGAAACAATCTTGTAAAAAATGTAACAAAATGAAGTGATCAATCATGGAATACATCAAATAGAAGAAACAATATGATTTCATTGTTTACTCTTCTAAGACAGCACAAAATAGATTACCATTGAGAAACATTAAGATATATATATATATATATATATATATATATATATATATATACGAATATTACGTAATAATAGTCATGGTAATAATCATAATCAGTATTGATTTGTTCTAATGTAAAGTAGGAAATATTACTATAGTGAATGTTTCCATATGAATCTAGACAATTCATTAAGCAGTAACATGAATATATATATATATGAACCAGAAGATTTATTCAATGAATTATTCTCTATGAAATGTATTGCTTTGATTTTCTTCTTTTTCTTTTTCTTCTTCTTCTTCTGGTTCTTTACTCTATTGTGTAACATGCATTCAAGGATCTATGTAAACATATATTGTAGTTTATTATGTAACTTCAATGAAAATAGCAAAATAACAAGGGTTCCATTGTATAGAATATTGAAATTGAATTATAATTCTGTAGAAAAAATTAATGAATTTAAACAACAAAATAAATCAATCATTCTATTTGGAACTTGTCAGCTGAATATATCTGGATTCTAGAGTTGATGTTCATTCTAGAACTTGAAATCATTACCATTCGTTACAAAAGTAATCATTTCATTCATTTAGCTAATGTGTCCTGATAGCCATTTGCTTGTGTAATAGGGTGAAGTTTAAATTTACTTGATATTTAGGACTTCAACTGATCAGTCTCTTATTGATATATGCACATTCTGTGCAGAATGCCTAGATATTGCATATTCACAAGCATTATAAGCAAAGAAGAATAGTGGATATCAGTGGAATACAGAATGCGAGTCTCATCCCATTTAAGACTCGTCAAATATTTCATTAAACAGAACTATATCATCTGACTATTCTAGGTCAACAAGTGAATCTCCTAGTAAAGAATCAATTTATGAAGAGTTTGACGATCAAAATATTATCTTCTTCTGGAGGTACCAGAAAGTGAAATTGGATTAAAGGTGGTCATAGAAACCGAGTGCCCGAGGAACAACTACTCGAGGTCAGTCACACACGACCATTTTGTAAGTAATTTTCGTGTTAGCTCCGTACTTGTTGAGAACTTAACGCCGCAGACGGATATCCGTGGGATAAGGTGAGGTGTACATTTTTAGGGTCAACCTTTTCTAACCTCACCCCTCCCTTTGAGAACGCAACATCGCTGTTGTACTGGCTGTCTGAAGGAAACACTCTACCGCCGTCACACCTTTGTACAGTCAGCAGTATGACTTCGTCTTCAGACCTTGCGTTTGTTGCTTTCAGTCTTACCGTTCTTCAACCGACCTATCTGGTATGGTAGTACCTTGAGGAACGATTGTTCCAGGCAGTATCATGATTAGCAATTCCAACCACCACTTCAACGTAACAACAACGGACGAGAGAATGTTATCATCAAATTCATATCTATGACAAAATTAAATATCAATGTTTATGTATATAAATAAATAAATCAATAAACCACGATAATGATGATGCATTTCCTTACCTGAGATTACAATAATTCATGATGAAAAGATTGATGAGACTGAAAAATTATTTTTTTTTTAAAAAAAAAAAGTGAAAACAAAAAAACAGAAAACTAAATTTCTCATTTACATAGTAAACAATCAAGAGAAAAAGAAAAAGAAAAAAAGAAAAATATAAAAAAATTCAAAAAACGTTTTTCTAGTTTTGATGATGTTTTCTTCCTTTATGTCGATTAAATTAAGTTTTAATTAAAATGACAATATATGTTCAATGATTTCATTTATTTAGTCAGTCAGTAACAACATAGAACTTTGTACATACTTATGTAAGTACGTATGTACATCAGTTCGAGTTGACATACCACATTAGCACAAAGAGCTTTCATTGTTCTCCTAAACAACAACTTCATTATCAGCAGCAGCAGCAGTAGCACAAATTTCAAGTAGAAGTACAAATAGAAGCATAAACAATCTCTACAACTTTATACTCCAGTCAGTTGAAACATCGAACTTCGTACATACATACGTAAGTACGTATGTACATCAGTTCGAGTTGATATACCACATTATCACAAAGAGCTTTTATTGTTCTCCTAAACAACAACTTCATTATCAGCAGCAGCAGCAGCAGTAGCACAAATTTCAAGTAGAAGTACAAATAGAAGCGTAAACAATTTCTACAACCTTATACTCCAGTCAGTTGAAACATCGAACTTCGTACATACATACATAAGTACGTATGTACATCAGTTCGAGTTGACATACCACATTATCACAAAGAGCTTTCATTGTTCTCCTAAGCAGCAACATCATCATCATCAGCAGCAGCAGCAGTAGTACAAATTTCAAGTAGAAGTACAAATAGAAGCGTAAACAATTTCTACAACCTTATACTCCAGTCAGTTGAAACATCGAACTTCGTACGTACGTACGTACGTACATTAGTTCGAGTTGTCATATCCCATTAGAACAGAGATACAATTGTCAATTCAAATCCCATAGTGATAGAGGTAATAAAAGTATAAGCAGTAATTAGGGAGTTTACGGTTTGAAGATGTTATTCAAGGAGTATAATTCAGTAAAATCAATTTGGAAAGAGAAAAATTAGGCGACATGAAGAATTTAAAACATTAGAATTTAGGAGAACATAAAGAGTGGATGCACCTGAGCGCACCATTGCAAATGAATTTGAGCCATGTTATTCAAGGTCTATAACCATTGGTTGCTATCGTCTCATGGATCCCAACCAGGTAGTCTACACCTATCAATTTCTGATAAAGACACACACGTATCATCAACATAAAGCTTGGTACGGATGTGCGTTGGTTTAAGTTGCCGTAACTGATTAGCACAACGAGGTGGAAATGACATGAGAGATGGAAATAATGTAGTAATAAAAGAAAGGTTAAAATTTAGGAATCCGGTTTGAAAGGACAGAGTAGAAAGGTATGTATGAAAAAATATTGAAATTCAAAATCAAAAGGAAGTTAAAAACTGAATGCATCTATGTCACTAGAAATGATTCTCAGCCATGTCACATAAATCCATCAAACACTAATCGTGGTTATCAAGCGAAAAATAATCAGATGATCAGTAGCTTTTTTCCAACCTACTTCTTTGACTTATCACCTTTTCTAAGTACTAAATGTCTAACCTTAACATTGATGACACAGTTATCCCACTATGTATCGAATTTCTGAGTTTAAATACCATGTGAAGGCCACCAAGATCCATCTGGTTACATGAAGTCACTGCCAGAGAAATCCTACTCACTGCCTTTATTTTTACAAAATTGAAGGGAAGAAAAGCGAATCACGGGCACTTTACCTGGGTTGGCAGATATAGAGGATCCATCAAGAGGAGTTGAAAAATTCTGATTCCAAACCAATGGTGTATATCGGCTCCAGTATCCTCAAGGAACAGATGGCGTATGAATTTATTGTTGGTCACCGGTTTTCATGGAACTGTATCTCCCAACGTTGTTCCACTGCTTTGTGAATCAGATCTATAGGTCAAAGGCTCGGGGTGTGGCCCCCTGAAAAAACCACTTGAACATAAGCAAACAATATCATAAGGTTTGCTGATGAGATTTTGAATGGAGATCAGTTTAATTAACTAACTGATCTCAGTTGAGGTACTGATGGAAACCAAGGAGTAATGAACAGTAATTGAACTTTTCGGTTGTATGGATACATTATTTCACTAAGAAATCGAACACACAATTTTCAGATCTTACAAACTGTTAGATAACTAGTGGCACATTTTCAAATCTAATCAATTTGAGATATAATTCAACGATTATCAGAATCCCCTAGTGACGACTGCTTCATTACTGATATGTCTGAACTCTATTGAGCAAGATTTCAATTCATAGCTTAGAGAGTTAGTTTTGAAGTAAGCCAATGATGAGCACCATGATAATAATCTCATACTACGAGTAAAAAGATACATGTCCAATTTTCTAAGGTTTACAATGGTACTTCAACAGAGGTCAATCTTCGAAGCAGACTGCTTATAAATAGAATTATAGCTTTGAAAAGAGTTTACACTTACGTGTACTGATTTATTTGATGGATTCTGTGTTGCATATAATGAAACACCAGCAGAAGTAGTGGTAGTAGTAGCAGTGTTTGTAATAGCACTTAAATGATTTGTTCGTACACATGAATGTGAACGACTGTTTGTAGTCAATGACTGTTGTTGTTGGCGTTGAAAAGGACAATGACTGTGTTGTGATTGTTGCTGTGAGTTTACAGGTATCAATTGTCGACTAGATAACCATTTAGCAATTTCATCAGTTTCATCAGAATCATGAGATCTAGTTGTAGACTAGAGAAAAGGATAAAATGAAAAATAGATATATTTTAAACCACAAACTAATTTTAGCTAGACCACTAATTGAAAATCTAGAAGCACCAAACGGCTGTTTCGTCCTAGTAAGGAACTCATTAGCAGTGCACACTCACGATTTCACATCAGGGAATCGAACCGAGGACCTTTAGACTTGCGCGCGAAAGCTTAAACCCTAGATCATTGGGCCGGCATCCAGAGGTGCTAATGTTTAACTTCAATCAATTCACAATATAGCTCAACTTTTATTCATTGTCTGCAGTCGATAACTGTCTCATACACGTCACAGATTGAACTTCATCGGTCGTGGTTTCTCACTAGAACTCCATAAGTTGCATCTTGAAGCTAGTCACTAGTGAACAAATTATTATTATAAGAGATATTCGTTGATACACATTTGGTGAATTTAAGTAAGTTAGAAAACTATTAAAAACCAGTAATCATTAGGTAGTTGATTGGTCCTAGTATAGAACACCTCAGTATTGAGCATCCACGATGTCTCGTCGATGATCAAAAATCAAAATGTTCAAGCCGTGTGGAAAGTATTTACCCTTCAAACCATTAAATCAGCATCTAGTGGCTTTCAGTTACAACTAGAATTAAATATTAGTCTAGTAATTCTTGGATTTTAATAGTTGTGTATTTAAGGTTAGATCATAGTCTATAAGTTATAGAATTCAACAGTTTCCACAAAACTTCACCTAGGATTGTATTATAAGTTTAAAATCAATTGTTGAGTACACACGATTGTAGAGAATATATGCTGGTTAGCAAAAACAAAAAGTCAAATGTCTTCACTCGTAGAAATTAGTAATTCTCTTCGTAGAAACCAAGTCAATCAGTGGTCTTGAATGCCGTTAGAAGTATGAGGGCGTTTATCATTTCCCTGTCGCTCACACCGTGGAAGGGTTCTTCTGGAGGTAAATGAAAACGAAATCGGATTAAAGGTGGTCTTAGTGAACACAGAGCCCAAGGGACGACTACTTGAGGTCGGTCACTCACAACCTTTTTGTGAGTAATTTTCGTGTTAGCTCCGTACTTGTTGAGACCTCACCGCCCGAGACGGATATCCGTAGGATAAGGCGAGTTATGCATTTTTAGGGCCAACCTTTTATAACCCCACCCCCCTTGTGAGAAGGCAGCGTCGCTGTCAAACTGATTGTCTGAAGGAAACACCTTACTGCTGTCACACCTCTGTACAATCAACAGTATGACTTTGCTGTTTTTGATTTCACCACTCTTCGGACCTTATAATAAATAGTTAATTTGCAAAATATCAATCCCTCGTCTCAAACTTGACTATTCTATTTGCAAATATTAGTCATACCTCTGTACAATCAGCAGTATGACTTCGCTCTTGAACCTTGATATACTTAAAAATTTAAGATATCATCAGTTCCATGAAGACTATTGATACAAAATACATTAAGTACAAATCTATGGTGTCTTCAAAGAGTCCACTGCAATGTCGAGTGACTTAGCCTAACTTTTACATTGTAAGCTTCAGCGACAGCATTTAAACAAAGCTAAATATAACATTGGTTACACTTCATTCACTGGTTAAGATACAAAACGCTATGCTGAACATCAGGACTTTGTCAATATGTTCTTACACTAGAATATTAATGTATTTAGTGCAATAACCTTAAACAAAGTATAGAATTAAGTAAACTTGAAGACAACAGCTATTGGTAGTTGCTAAATTATGTGAAATAACACGATTAAACTATGTCTTATTTTTATTAATCCATTTTTACAGAACAAAATACGAGATATTGGTAGCTCAATTAATAAGCTAAAAATATATAAAGCTTATACCAGTTAAAATCGATTATAAGATCGGCTATAGGTAGAAGTTATGGTAAAGCAAGGACAATATTCCTACAATTGAAGAACAAATGGAACTCAAAACAACTGTTTGTCAACCAATAATCAAAGTCACAATCTTCAACACCAACATCAAGACAATTCTACTATAAGGAGCTGAAACGTAGAGAACTACTACAAACATCATCATGTAGGTACAACTACCTATAAATAGTTGTCTACGCAATATACTCAACATCCATTGGCCGGATACCATCAGAAACAGACTTTTGTGGGAGAGAACGAACCAGATTCCAATTGAAGAGGAAATCCGGGAAAGACGTTAAAATCGGATAGGACATATATTATGGAAATCACCAAACTGCATTACGAGACAAGTGCTAACTTGAAATCCTGAAGGGAATCAGAAAAGATGAAGGTCAAAGAACATTTTACGTCAGGAAATAGAAGCAGATATGAAAAGAATGAATAACAACAACTAGAAAGAACTGGAAAGGATTGCCCAAGACAGGTTTGAATGGCGAGTGATAGTGAGCAGCCTATGCTCTTCCACGAGAAGTAACAGGCATATGTAAGTAAATAAGTAATATGTAGAAGTTTAAACATCATAACTGCAATTCTCTAGACGATTTTAGGTTTTCATGTATCATGACACCAAATTCATAACAATTCAATAGATCTATCAAAGAATTTTATTGTATTTTATTTTATTTGAACACATAAATATTGGTACAAGGAGGCATCAAATATATATGCGCCACACGAATCTCATTTGATTTGTGTGAAAGCTTTGATACTACCCGGGTGCCCAAACCGAACCAGGTGGTTTTCTTAGGGGGCCACAACCCGAGCCTTCGACCTGAAGATCTGATCCACAAGGCAGTGGAGCATCGTAAGGAGATGCAGTCCCATGGTAGCCGGTGACTAAAGATTGGTTCATACGCCATTTGTTCCTTTAGGATACTGGAGCCCATGTGCACCATTGGTTTGGAATCAGGGTTTTCCAACTCCCCTAGGTGGACTCTACGTGTCCACCGACCCTATCAAAGAAAACTTTCTAATAAATGATCAAGATCAACATACTATTTGACTACATATCTATCTACATTTCTTCAATATCATTCCTTCTTCATAATCAAACGGTACAGTTATTTGAATTAACTTAGAATAATTTTGTTTGTAGCGTATCCTGTTGAAACTATTCATGACATGATCTATGATAAGGATCGTTTATCAATAAAATGAGATCTTACAATAACTAATCAGTAATATCCTTTATAGATGACATTCAATGATGATTAGTGACATAGTATTATTCGATATAACTCACGTAATTATGTCACCTAAATTTCATACATCAGTTTATCTCTCTTATCATGTTGATGTATAAGATGTACGATTAATATCGTATCAGTTTTCATTTAAAAATTTTAATGAACAAAATATATACCTGGGACTCGAACAAAATACCGTTCGCTTCAAACGCCATTGTGTTATCCACTTACCTACTGAGTCCTGATAGACACCTGCTTTTGCAATGGGATGAAGTTTTAAATTCATTTACTATTGTTTACTTGTATCATCCCATTGTTGTTTAGGACTGTAATTGATGAGTCTCTTGTTGGCATATGTGCATACTGTGAGGATTCCCTTGATATTGCCTTAGGTCATAAGCTTTATAAGCAAACATGAACAGTGGTTAGCGGAAGAATCCAGGATGCGCATTTCGTCCTATTTGAGACTCCATTGCCTAAGTAATTGGCCACCAACACTCAGTACCTGAGTGGATAACGCGATGGCGTACGAAGAGAATGGTACTGGTGTTCGAGTCCCGTAGTGAAAATCAACTATAGGATGCAGGTACATCCAACCGACGAGTCCCAAATAAAACGAAACGAGCGTTCTGGATTCTACTGCTAGTCACTATCCATCTTTGGAAAGTATAAAAGTTTACACTTGATCATTGACATAATTTGAAATATTGTGACGAAGAATTTCACTGTTAAGATGAACACTAATGTCGTTGAAATAAAAATAATTATCATTACATATTATTACTACCATTTATCAGAAACCAATTTGATAGGATAAAATTATTTTATGTCGAGGATATTCGTCGGAGAAAGCCCAGAGGGGTCGTGAAAACGCCGGGAAACATTTTGTTCAATCAGCATTGAATAGACTGTTTTCAGAAACATCTAAAAAGTAAAGAGTTACGTGTCACATTTCTGACTGGATGGTTACCTGTACTTCTACTATGTTTAGTAAGGTTCCAGAAAAACTAGGCCATCCGAAATGCGTTAAATACCCTCAATTTTCTGTTCATAAACTAACCTTGGAATAATGCGTTCTTTCCACCTTTCGAGCCTTTTCTCTCATGTTCAAGATTTCGTGTACGATGTGTTAGCCTGGATTTATAGAATAGCTTAAGAAATCAGTTCAAGCTTTCAGTTGGAAGATTTCTCATTTTATTTTTAATTAGAAAAACTATTGGATAACCGCTCAATAGCCTAAAGCTTAAGCACTCATTATGGATTCGACCGTTGGTCACCGGTTACCATGGGACTGCATCTCCTTACAATGCTCCACTGCCTTGTGGATCAGATCTTCAGGTTGAAGGCTCGGGGTGTTGCCCCTTAAGAAAACCACCTGCTTCAGTATGGGCACCCGAGCAGTATCACAGCCCTCACACATATCCAATGAGATCTGTGTGGCGCATATGTTATCGGTGCCGTTTTGTACCGATATTTATGTGTTAAAATAAATGATAAATAATGGATTCGACCCCTATTAAGGTAGTGGATGTGCACGGATGAGTTCTCTACTATAACGAGACAGCTGTTCAATGCTTCTTGAGTTACCAATAATTGTTCAACTAAAGTCAGTTTATGACTTAAACTACCAAAAAACAAACATTTCTTTAATCAAATACTCTTTAAATGTAACAATTCTATCTAAACAATGTGAAGTAGAGGTTACTTACACCACCACAAGGACCTTCACTTATATCCAACAAACTTTCATCGTCATCTTCATCCTCGTTAGTATTATGATGATTGTTGGTGATTGAAACAGCAGTACTATTACCGTTACCTGACTCTGTATGATTATAGTGTAAACTATTCATTCGACTACTAACAACTCCATTCATTGTAGACTCATTTACAGTTGCACGACGTAGAGATGATGGTCCAGCTGTAATTGCTAATTGTTGTTGATGTTGCTGCTGTTGGTGGTGATGATGATGATGATGATTCGATCGATGACGTCTTGAGTCAATATGGTCACTTGATGAAGCAGTTAAACATAGTTGTGGTCTAGAATCTGTTAAACATAATGCAGAATTTGTTTGTTGATTGTTTGAAGAATTATTATTATCGGAATTCTGTATTGCACGTTGATAATATCGTTCAAAACGATCGTAACTGTAAATAGTTAAGAAAGATCAGATAAACAAGCAGATATTAAGTTACTGGTTAAGATTTCGCGTACTCTTAATCATTCAAACAATGTCAGATGAAGAATTAGATAAAATAACTAAACGATGAGTGTGATGGAGTTTTGTTCTCTGAGCTGGATAGTTTAGTCGTGGGGCTTTCATCGTTCTTCTGAACGACATCATCAGCACAAAATTCAGGAAGAAGTGAAGTGTTCCAATTTGATTGTATCTGCCAGTAGTTTGATTTTTGCTGCTATGTTTGTGCGATGAGAGATACAACCAAAACAAAGATGTAAACAATGATAGGTTTAAAGTCAACAACAACCAATCAACATCGAGGTGTACAGGACAAGCTGTGAAACACGTTTGAAGGAATTCGAACACTTCACTTCTACCTGAAGTTTGTGCTGATGATGATGTCGTTCAGAATGACAATGAAAGCTCCACAACCAAACCATCTAGATCAGAACAAAACTTCATCAAAATCATCCACTTGAAATACAATTCTTCTCTACCATCTCAAAACGATGAGTGTCTTTGTATATCATATTATAATCAATTGGAACCATATCCTCAAAGATCACCAATTCAATGATTATCAAGAGGACATTTTATTGCCGATCGATAGTCATGAACTTCTTAGACTGATATTTAGTCATTTCATTTAGTCATCCCACTAAATTACTACTGTGTTAGTCATGATTTCATATATGCGCAATGCATGACTGGGAATATATAACACGAGAGTACCTTGAATAGATGAGTCTTTCATTAGTTAAATGATATGGATATATACGAGCATATCTATGAAAAGAATACATATAGATGGAGAGAGAGAGAGAGAGAGCAAGCGACCATAATAAATACTACTTAAAATAAACCATAATTAGAAATAAAAAGTAACAATCTGAAGAAAACACATTAATATGGAGATGGTAGTATTTTCACAGTTGAATTCACAAGTCAATTCAAGCTAAACTACCAATGAAAATTTGGAAGCATTGGATGGCCATTTCGTCGTAATATGGGACTCCTCAGCAGTGCACACACGAGATTCGAACTCATGATCTTCAGTGTCGTACGAATTAGTCTAGTCAATTCATACAGTCCATACAACTAAACCAATCTCAGATTAAAAACTATGTATTAATACAAGACATTAGATTTGATACCGTCAAACAATGTTAATAATTCAATAGCATGTTTTCAACATTCAATGTATGACTGTTCGCTGGGCAATTTCTAGGAAATCAACACATTCGCTGTTCAGTAATGATGATAATGTTGATAATAATAATAATGTTCGGACTCTTTCTGTCTATTTATAACTTGGTAAAAACTATTTTCTTTTGTAATTTTTCTCCTAAAAGGTTTTTTAATACATTTTTTCAACTAGTAAAATTGCTATAGTATCCACAAAACCCCATCTGATATTAATCGACATATGCTAATTAGTAACTGGCTTCAAGAGGTATATCCTGGAGTTCTAGTGAGAAACAGTGACCAGTGGAGTTCAACCAGGTCTGTTGTGAGATAGTAGCTCACCGAAGGCAACGGTAGATGTGTCACTCAATTTCGTGGAATAGTTGAAGTTAGACATTAACATCGTTGGATGCCGACAGTTTCAGTAATCTAATGGTTAAGCGCCTGGCACGAGACTAATAGATCCTGAGTTCGAATCACGCGAGGCGGTGTCGTGGATACGTACTGATGAGAAGTCCCACAGTAGGATGAAACAGTCATCCAGTGCTCCCAAGTTTTCCATGATGATCTAGCTTTAATGGACTCATGATCTTAACTATTAAAATCACTATAATATCCATAAAAACCTCTTCTAATACTAATAAATCTTCTCTGGGGAAAAAATGATGAAACTTGAAAATGAAAAATGATGATGATTTACAACAGGACAATATTAATTCATATTTATCTGTCTATGAATGTATTCGATACAAGTAACAGTAATAAACAAAAAACAAAAAAAAAAATTCAATCGAAACCAAGGGATCTACAAAGCAGTTAGTAGAATCGAAAATACAATAGAAAGCATAAAACGGTATACGATAAAGAAAGAGACAGTGAGAGTGAGAGCAAGAGAGAGAGAGAGAGAAAGAGAGAAAGAGAGAAATGAGGATTCAATGAATGATATGAAAATGAATATAGATGATTAAAAGTAGTTAGTATTACTATTATTATTATTATATGAAACATATGAATCGATTTAGAACAAAATGAAACGACACGGAAACCAATCTATTTACATGATATAATTTACGAGTTGTAATAAGAGAGAGAAAGAAATCATGTCTCTATGCCCGTGTGTATATGTGAATGTGGGTGTGTGTGTGTGTATGTGGGTGTGTGTGTCAGATAGATAGAAAGGGGAAAAAGATTAGTGTGATATCTCAAAGGAATAAATAAATAATGATAAAGAGAAGAAAACCAGTAAAAACACTATCAATAATTGTGGCAAATTATGATAAACAATAAATATCCAGTAACTAATAAGACATGGTTATAAAGAGAGAAGTGTGGAGAGAGAGAGAGAGAAGAAGAAGGAAAAAAACATTAAGTATACCCATAATTGAATTGGTAATAAATTATCTAGAAAGAAATGACTCGTAGATGTTTGAATTTTACACTAGAATGGTCAATCAACCATCGATTCAGTTACTGTTAACACAGGACAGTATCAAAAAGAAAGAGGTGGAATTATTAAAATAGAATCTGGAGAGATAGAGATAGATAGAGAGAGAGAGAGTGAGAGAGAGAGAGGAATACATAAGTTGGATGGTGATCAGTACCATCACTATTTATTCATGTTAAGAGTATTGAATGTTTCAATCTACGCATAGATATACATACCTAACAATAAAGAGTGGTTCTATTTTGGAATCTTCAAACGATTTTATCTAGATTTCAAGCTTGCCATGAATTCAGTATCTATCGCTAAACATTAACAGGATAATAATACATTATACACGATGAACAAATCAGTGACTGTCTAGATTCATTACAAAAAATAATATTCGTACGTATAATGAAATATACGCCGTCCGATTTGTGTGAGATTCATTAGTGATTAGAATTCCCGGCCGTTATCGCTATCATGATGTGGTGGTCGGGCTTACCTATCGTGATAAACCAATCAAGCTATACTGGCTGGAACAACCGTTTCTCAAAGTTCTACCATACCAAACAGGTCGGTTAAAGAACCGTAAGACTAAAAGCAACAAACTCAAATTCCGAAGACGAAGTCATACTACTGACTGTACAAAGGTGTGACAGCAGTAAGGTGTTCTCTTCAAACAACCAGCATAACAGCGATGCTGCCTTCCCACAAAGAGGGGTGGGGTTAGAAAAGGTCAACCCTAAAAATGCATAACTCGCCTTATCCTACGGATATCCATCTCCGGCGGTGAGGTTTGAACAATTATGGAGCTAACACCAAAATTACTCACAAAATGGTCGTGTGTGACCGATCTCAAGCAGCTGTCCCTTGGGCACTGCGGTCACGCTCTCAGGTCAGTAAGACCACCTTTAATCCTATTTCATTTTCAGGTACTTCCAGAAGAACCCTTCCATGGTGTGGGCAAGCGGAAAGTGATAACCACCGTCATACCTCTAACAGCACTCAAGACCATTGTATTCATAGTCAACCTCCTTCTTCAATTCCTATTATTCCTCCTACGTTGTCTGACTGAGTAATCAAAATTGACAAGTATGATATGCAATTGTAAATTATTTTGATTAGGATAACATTGTACACGTACCCTACTCTTTCATATATGCCATTTTGAAAATAGACAAGAAGTTCATACATCTGATTTATTGTTTAAGTATATGTGATAATCTAATTAATGAAAACAGTCTGTATCTAATAAAAGCCAGAATGATTTAAGTCAATAGATGTCATATTCAACATCATCATCAGATTAGTTAAATTATAAAACATATCGGTGTGAGAAGTTCTACTTTAGGTTTTGCAAATTTTGTTTCATCGAGTTGAGGATATTCTAAAACTCATTGTGTTTTGTAATCTTTTTCTATGAAGAGTCGCTTATATTCAATGGTTATACCGTGTAAATGAAACCAAGGCTGAGAATATATATCCTATGATAGTAAGTTGCAATCTTCTATAGACATATTCATACTGTGATACTACTTATGATGCTTTGAAAGTAAATTATGACAGTTTTTTTCAAAAAGCTTCAATACTAGGTATTATTTGCCAATTCTGAGACTGCATGAAAAAAACCAGATAAACGGTCATGATATGATTTCATGAAATAGAAAATAAGACTAGCAACTTTTATTCAGTAATGATTCCTTACATGTGAATTCCTGAAAATCCTAAAACTCAATTGTTTAAGACACTATCAGACATGTCATATTTATTTATTTAAATAATGATACAAAGTGGTACCGAATATAAAAATGCCACACAAGTCGTTTGATTTGTGTGAGATCTATGAAACTGCTTGGGTGTCCAAACTGAACCACGTGGTTTTCTTAGGATGCTACACCCGGAGACTTCGACCTAAAGGTCTGATACAAAGGCCAGTGGAGCGACGTCAGGAAATGCAGTCCCACGGTATCCGGTGACCAACGATTGGTTCGTACGCCATTTGTTCCCTCAGCATACTGGAGCCCATGTGCATTATTGGTTTGGAATGAAAGTTTTCCAACTCCTTTAGGTGGACTCTCCGTGTCCACCAAAGCCTTTCGTCTTCTCACTTTCGTAAACAACATCGAGAAGGCAGTGAGTACGAATTCCCTCGCAGAGGCTATATACGCGTGGCCATGTGAGAGCATTTGGAGAGGGAGAGCGGACTCTCCCCACTCTCGGCCGTACCAAGGCATTTGGGGGCAGACATGTCATATAGCAGAATTCAGTAAGGAGGGTGGTCCTATTATACTTTTTCATTAAAAGTAACATATACCTATGATGTAGTGTACTTATGTTTGTAGATACAAGTAGTATATAACACCAGTCGGATGTAGAATGTTTGCGATTAGAAAGTTTAAAAAGATTGAGATGAAGAGAAAAGAGAAAGAAACTGAAAGTAATCAAGATAACAACAGGAATGATGGAATAATAAAGCTTACAAAAGATAATTCAAGGAAGATGTACAATGTATGATGTAGGATTTCGACATTTTACTATGTGAATATACATTAAAACAATAAAGTAGGTTCTATCCATCTAAGTCTTCCTTCACTACAAACCTTTTTAATTGTAGTGTTTATGAAAAATTGATTCAAAATCTATTCTATTATAAACACTTATATAATAAACAATTAAGTTATATGACAATATTCCATGTTATAACTTATTAACATTCATATATCAATATCAACAAAACAGGAAGTGAAAATATGAAAAATTCAATTAAAACAAATTTACAATTGAAATCAATTTTCAGTATTGGGGTTGTGGAGATTATTAAGCTTTTGATTGAGATCATGAATCGACTGATGTTAGACCACCGCTGGAAACCTGGAAGCACTGGACGGCCGTTTCGTCCTAGTATGGGACTCCTCAGCAGTGCGCATCCACGATCCCGCTCGCGGGATTCGAACCCAGGGCCTTCAGTCTCGCGCGCGAACGCTTAACCTACTCGACCACTGAGCCAGCATCCAATGGTGTTAGTGTCTAACATCAACCAATCCACGAAATTGCGCGACCATCTTCCATTGTACTGAGGTAGATACCTGTCTCTGCCCGACACGGATTAGCTCCACTGGATGCGCACTGCTGAGGAGTCCCATACTAGGACGAAACGGCCGTCCAGTGCTTCCAGGTTTCCAACGGTGGTCTAACATCAGTCGATTCATGATCTCAATTGAAATCAATTTATAATATCATGTGAAATATGTTCAATGATTAAGCAAAGATGGATAATAGCTAGTAGTCAAATTCAAAATATGTCTTTCGTCTTATTCACAACTCATCAGTTAGATGTACCTGAGTCCTACGGTTGTTGTTCACTGTGGGACTCGAACACCATCACGTTATCTTGGATTGAACATCAACTCTGGGATGCAGGTACATTCAGATGATGAGTTTCAAATAGGACGAAACCAACGTCTTGAATTCCAATCCCAGCCATTATCCATCTTTGCTTGAAAAAGCTTGTGACTTAAGATTATATCGAGGCAATTCGCACAGGATGCATATATGCCAACAAGAAACTGATCAATTGAAGTCCTAAATAACAATTGAAAAATATAAGTAAAGCAACACCAAGTGCATTTTCAATTATCTAGAGATTCGTATTGAAGACTAAAAATCCTGGATTCAATCTCTGATGGATATGCACTGTTGAAGTCTTATACTTAGATGAAATAGCTACTCACTGTTTCCTGCCTTTCAATATTTGTGTGTAAATAAGATTATTCTGTGATGTTACCTAGGAAAATTTAACAATTTTCCAGGAACTTTGTTATATCCCCCCTCTCACCGAAACGACAATTGAATAAGACCTTACTTATCATCAAGAATAAAGACAACAAAGGATTTATCTCCGTTTACACAGAGAGTAAAAATAGGTTTGAAAAATTTTCTGATGTTTGAGAATAAATATCCATGACTTTAATAGTTATTGTACCCATGAACCTTCAGAAACCATGATGAACATTAAGCCATGTAGACATATGAGTTAGCACCTAATAATCTATATTGCTAACTATAGTCAATTCATGATATTGCTCAACCATCTTTCAATATTAATGGTTCAACAGCTTTCCGTTATTTGATCTCATATTATATTTTTTTAAGACATGATATTTCATGTCCAATCTTTTTTTCTCAATTCCTCAAATTATTGATTTTCTCTGAACCAATATGAATGTAAGGTGCAGTGACTTGAATGAATATGTATATTCATGTCAAGTTATATATTGTCTATTTGACAAATTCTTTTAGATCAAGAGATTATGAACCATGATCTTGCCCCTAAATGCCCTGGAACGGCCGAGAGTGCGGAGAGTCAGCTCTCCCTCTCCAAATGCTCTCACATGACCACGCGTATATAGCCTCTGCCAGGGAAGTCCTACTCACTGCCTTCCCATCAACGGGGTGTTGTTTACGAAAATGAGAGGACGAAAAGCGAATTTCCGGCGATTTAACTGGATCCCAAACCAATTTAGAAATAATCGATTTTATGGTATGTCTACTCACTTAAAGTTGGTTGAAATCTATCAACAAAGTGATATAATGAGGGAGGAATTGGTGTAGAAACCGATATATGAAGAATGCTTGGACTGTTGTACTTAACATTCGCCTATTTCTAAACTTTCGTTTGACTCATAAATATTTGTCATATTTATTATTCGTGGTTTATTGTTGATTATTGCGCATTGTTGAGAAGTCTCATAATGGGGTGATACGACAATCCAGGGCTTCCAGGTTTTTATTAGTTCATGATCTCAATGAAATTCAACAATCTCCACAAGCTCATACTGATTACTAATTAATCCCCCTATTAATCTGGTTTTGTATCACCTATGACTAAGTTATGTACTGACTATAATTGTCTAAATGTGTTGTTATGGGATCAGATATTTCAAATATACTGTTAGATAGTGGTTGGAGGTAGTCGAGAGGAAACCCTGAACACGGTTTTCGTGCTACTTGGCACTCGTCAGCAAGGTGTACCTGTAATCTTGAAGGAACTGATGCTCCCTGATGGATTCGACCTCGTGTCACCCAGCTTCACAGTCAGAGACGTTACCACTGAGTTATCCGAGCCCCGACCGACCTCTTGTAGGACTGAGATGTAATCACAATTGATTAATCACTGAGTGGTGACCAATCAATTGCAAATATATGGTTGTTAAAGTCTTGAGTTATAATTGAATTAATCAAAGTAGAGAATTGATCTGCTTTCTACTTTTTTTCTACTAACTGACCGATGGGTTAGAAGGAACTCCACGATAAAGAAGAGTCTACTTCCTGAATGTGATTCATTGGTCGATGTGTCAGTTGATACATAGAATTTATTATTATTTATTTTATTTATTTGAACACATAGACATTGGTACAAGGAGGCACCAAATAGATCATTCGATTTGTGTGAGGAATGGAATACAACCCGGACGCCCAAACTGAAGCGAGTGGTTTTTTCAAGGGGCCACATCCGAAGCCTCCGACCTAAAGCTCTGATCCACAAGGCAGTGGAGCAATTTCAGGAGATACAGTTCCATGGTAGCCTGTGACCAGCGATTGGTTCATACACCATTTGTCCCCTCAGCATCCTGGTGCCCATGTGCATCATTGGTTTGGAATGAGGGTTTTCCAACTTCCCTAGGTTGGTTCTTCATAACCACCAACAAGCTTCAAGCGCCGAACATTGTGTTTTCGTCCTCTCAATTTCGTAAACAACACGAGAAGGCAGTGAGTAGAACGTCCCTGGTAGTGACTGTATACACGTTTCCTTGTTAGAACATTTCCAGAAAGAAAGCTAACTCTCCCCACTTTTAGCCGTACCAGGGAATTCGGGTAGGGGACAGATACATAGAATGTTATCTATTCTATTATCAATATAAGTGAACCAACGGATAAATGGATATATCATACCATAAGCTTTCTTTTTTATTCCACATTACACACATAATGTATATAATACTAATATGAAAATATTTAATAAAATTAAACATATGATAAATATAAACTAAAGAAGGAACGAATCGAGCAGAGAAATTTCTTTTCAATTCATTCTTGAGTATCCACACTGTGGAAGGGTTTTTCTGACTCTACACTAACATGAAATAATACTCATTGAGTGGATACATTGCGTAATAATTCTATAATGAGAGAAACGGTAAGAGTAAGTAACCTTGACTAGACCCCGTCTAATGTTACTACCGGTTCCAAGCCCGGATAATAATGGAGGGTTGAACATGAGATCAACGATCCCATCCCGTAGAATATTAACTTGCTTTAAAAAGAAATACTTATCAGAAAAAAATAATGGCTTTATACACTAATGAAATACTACTCATTGAATAAATAAGTTACGTAATAATTATGCACATATAAACTAACCGTAAAAGTGTATTTGTTAAATTATCATTAACTTGAATTAAATTATTAGTTACTTCTTCATCGGATACTTGACTTAAAAATTCCATAACACGTTGATGCATAATACGACATGTACAATTTAATTCCTATAATAATAATAATAATAATAATAATAATAATAATAATAATAATAATAATAATAATAATAATAATAATAGAATTATAATATAATTGAATATCTATTAAATAACATCAATATATTGTACAATATTCAAAGATATAGTTCTAAATTGATTAGTTCTACATTCTCTAGATGAATGATCATTTGAGTAAAAATTGACATTTCTATGATGATGCCCCCCCCCAAATACACTAGTACGGCTGAGAGTGGGGATAGTCAGATCTTCTTCTCGAAATGCTCACACATGGCCAAGTGCATACAAGCGCTGACAGAGAAGTCCTAGTGATTACCTTCTTACGGCATTACTGTTGTTTACAAAATTCAGAGGATGAAAAGAGAATGTCCGACGCTTTAAACAGGTTGGTTGACACGGATAGTTCACCTAGGAAAGTTGGAAAACTCTCATTCCAAACCAATGATGCACATGGGATCCAAGATCCTAAACGAACGAATGTTGTATGTACCAATCGTTGGTCATCGGCCACCATGAAACTACATCTCCTGACGCTGCTCCACTATCTTGTGAATGAGACCTTTAGATCAGAGGCTCCAGGTGTGGTCCCTTAAAAAAACAACGTGGTTCAGTTTGGACACCCAGGTGGTATTCCAGCCCTCACATAAATGGTTCGATTTATGTGGCGCATATGTATTCGGTGTTTCTTTATACCAATATTTATGTTTACAAATAAATAAATAAGATTTCAAGACAATTTCAATTTTTTGACATAGTTGAAGTTTCTCAATATAATCAGGTGCACCTTTATACATTTTAAACATAGAGAGAGTGAAACTGACAACACACATTTACAACCAATTCATACTGTGAGGATGACCGACGGGTGAATTCGAGAAAGCTCAGAAAGAGACGAAGATATTCCATCCAATCATCTTTTTGGAAGAATATTTCAGAATCCTCAGGTGTAGCCTTCTTATTGGACAAATGCTTATAACCTTCTGTATGAGGATCGGAGGAATATAATGATGATTTCGTTTTTACTAAAAACTATAAATATCTGACAGTTTTGTTTTTGTACCATAATTGACATTGTTTTGGAATAGCATTCCTTTCACCAGTCTTCTTTCTCCTCATTTGAGACTTGAGAGGGTTCTAGCATTCGAGTGCCTTACACAGAACTAATTAGTTTCAAAATGTAAAATATAGTCTTCAATTCAAACTCATATTCTACAGTGACTTATATCCCTTGAGAAGATATTCATAGAACTACTAATTATGAGACCCTAAATATCTTCGATAACTACGCCCGGAGTCCCTCCGGGGGCTACTGCCGGTCTCAAGCTTAGATAGAGGATTAGGGTTGGGCATAGGGTTAGCGACCTCATCCTGCAGAAAACTAACTCGCTAAAAAAAGCTAACCGGAAAAAATTATTCAAACCATTTAAACTGCCCTGAGAGTCAGAAGGTCTTCATCTAGAAGAGTTATGACGCCTAATGATGAAAGCCGAGTTCCTTCGGAAGTCACGAGGACGATGCCCCTTCTGACAACCAGAGCAACCATTTATTTAGGTACATGGAATGCTCGTACAATGTGGGAGACTGCGAGAGTCTTTCGAATTGCTGAATTGTTGCTGTTGCAAATATATTTGACTCATTCATAGTTCATAACTGAACACAATTTAACTTTACCAATGAATATTCAATCATTAATGAGAGAGTTAGTCGACTATTAAGTAGTGACCAATTTCATTTTTCTCTAATCTTTTAGTGCTTATTGAATTCTATCTATTAAGTTGCAATGTCGCTACTAGTCTAAGTGATTCGATATTGAGCGTACTACGTTGAAGTATCAGATAGTTGTTGGAGTTAGTCGACTGCAAAATCAAGATCTAAGTTGCGTGCTATTCGACACTCACCAGTAAGGTATGTTTCGAAACTCGAGAAAACTGATGAGCCTTGGAGGTCTTAACCTTGTGTTACCCAGCTTCACAATCAGAGATTTTATTGCCGAGCTATTTGGGAAGAGACTAACTTTCTGTAGGACTAAGATATATTTGCATTTGGCTGATCACTGAGTAGCAGCTAATGACGTGTTTATTTAGTCCTATAATCCAGATTGAATCCCATAAATCAAATTATAATACATTAACCTTAGGTATAAGTTACTCAACATCATTTGCCCTACATTAAGATGTCAGATAATTCGAGACAGTCAGAAGGTTTTCCACAAACTACTCCCAATTACCAGAAATCACTACTTATATATAAATGTGAGAAAAATTCTAGTCATTAGTAATTTTCATAAATAATGATAATGCTATGGCTGGGATAATGTTGAAGAAAGTATGACTCTTGAGACTGATTTATAGATTACTATTATTATTTATATCAGAAGGGTTTTTGTGGATATTATAGTAATTTCAATGGTTGAGATGAGGAATCAATTGAAGCTAGATCACCATGGAAAACCTGGAAGCACTGAGACTCCTCAACAGTGTGCATCCACGACCGACTTCAAGATGTATTTCCTGCAGTTCTAGTGGGAAACAGTGACCAGTGGAGTTTAACCGGGTCTGCTGTAGAGGCAGTCACTCACTAAAGACAATAGTGAATGTGTCGCTCAATTTTGTGGACTAGTTGAAGTTATACATTAACACCGATTGATGCCCGTTCAGTGATTTAGAGATTAAGCACTCGCGTGCGAGAACAATAGATCCTGGGTTCGAATCTCGTGAGGTGGGATCGTAGATGCGCACTACTGAGAAGTCTTATACTAGGACGAAACAGCCGTTCAGTGCTTCCAGGTTTTCTATATGGACCTATTAACTAGTGACATAAGATTTATTATTCTTTATTAATTATATACTGCGTCGCTTCGTTCTTTGCCACAACTGGAATGATTGTTGAAGTATAATTATAGAAGCTTAGTTTCTAACATCTCCATTTAGACACTAGCCTTAATTCCGGAAATATAGACCTTTAATCTAGGAACAATCCTTAATCTAATGCCATCATATATTATAAATGAATTAATCAGATAGGCCATCTTCTATTTTCGTGCAAAATTCACTTACCCATATAACTATAGAGCATTTCTACATTATATTTGATATAAGTTCATGATAAAAACTGTAATTATTAATCTTTAACAGTTACTCTAAATACTTAACCCTAATTAGGAACAATATTGGGACTCTTATGGTTATCATCATAGATAATGTAAAAATCTTCTGTTGCTATATGGATAAGTGAATTTTGTACAAAGATATAGAAGAGGGTCTATCTGATGAATTCATTGTGATAATATAGTGACACTAAAATGAGGTTTATTCCTTAATAAAGAGTTTATAGTCAGGATTAAGGTATAGTATCGAATTGTTTGTTATTATACAATTTTGTTACATAATGAAACAGAACTATTCATTGAATGAGTCTAAAATTATGGTTATCAAACATTTTTTTATCACTATTATATGAGATAGATTAAAAAAAATATACAAAGGTAACTGCATCACAGAGTTGATATTCATTTCAGGACATCAGCCCAGTACTGTTCAGTTTAAATGCTATAGCATTATCTGATTAACTACTGACTAAGTGCAATATCGAGGCGATCCGCACAAGATGCCCATATGTCAATAACAGACTGATCCATTACAGTCTTAAACATCAATGAGAAGATTCAAACAACCAATACAAAAGTGAGTAGAAAATTTTTTTTCTGGGACTCGAACCCAGTTCCATTCGCTTCAAACGCCATGGCGTTATCCACTTACCTACTGAGTCGTGATAGCCGATTACTTGTGCAATGAGGTGAAATTTAACTCAGTATTGTTTTAATTGAATCTTCCCAATGTTATTTAGGAATTCAATTGATCAATCTATCTCATACTGGCATATATGCATATTGTGCGAACTGTCTTGATATTGCCTTAATTCACAAGCATTATAAGTAAAGATGGACAATCGATAGCACTGGAATCCAGGACGCACGTTTGATCCTACTCGATAGCTAAGTGAATGACGCCATGTCGTTTGAAGTGAAAGGTACTGGGTTCGAATCCAAAAGTGAAAATCAACTCTGAGATTCAGGTAGATCCAGCAGATGAGTCCTAAATAGGACAAAACACGAGTCCTCGATTCCCCTATTAGCCACTATCCATCTTTACTTATAATGCTCGTGAATTAATGCAATATCGAGGCAATACGCACAGTATGCACATATGCCAATATGAGATAGACTGATCAATTACAGTCCTAAACAACAATGGGAACAATCAAAGAAAAACAATACCAAGTGAATTTAAAATCTTTTGTTATTATTTCATTTGTTTTGTAGTTCATCTAAGGTCATGTCATTGGGGTTCAAACTATCACACTTAACCACCTCATAAACACGCACACACACACACACACACACACACACATACACACATACACATTCATATCCAAATTAAGTTAGAATAGAAGTTCAAGAATGGAAAAACCAATGAAAGGTGAATTATGATGAATAGAGGAGTTATAAAAATAAAATTATCATTAATCCTTTATTCTTGAACGAATCTTCAATCTTCAATATTTATCCATATGGAAAGATACATATATATATATACTTAAGGATAACGGACAACTACTTATCCTATAGTCAATTATAAATATTAATATCCATTTTTAGGTCAACAGAATTAATTCAAAGTCAATAAATCTAATAGAAAATAATATCAGATCTTTATTCGACTAGAAGTATAAATCAAATCAGTTTTGAAGTAATTATTCATAGATAATTCAATAAATCTTGAGATTTTTAATTGAGATCATGAACCGATTGATGTTAGACCACCGTTTGAAACCTGGAAACACTGGACGGCCGTGTCGTTCCATTGTGGGACTCCTTAGCAGTGCGCATCCACGTTCCCGCTCGCGGGATTTGGACCTAGGGCCTTTAGTCTCGCGTACGAACGTCCTGGGTACGAATCCTGCTAGTAAGATCGTGGATACGCACTGCTGAG